GAAGACACGTGCATCCTGAAAATATGGGCCTATAATTAAATTACCGGAACGTCCAGCCTCACGAAACTTACACTATACCGTCAGATTGAGAGGGGAAAATCTCCACATCATGCTTGTACTTCGGGAAATCTCGCCACGGGATTGCATGAGTGTAACCTATATAATTCAAAAAATGTTGTGAACCACACTCAAAATCATACTAAATGAGGGTGGCTACCCCCGGTCGTGAAGATAAGGGGTGTGGAATTATCGCAGTTTCGGTGTACCGAACGTGACGAAGATGAAACTGTTCCGCTTCGCGGAACCACCTGCCCAATCATGAAAGGCAGGTCAACCCCCAGTTTCTGTTCTCTCGACCTTGTGGCTCATCAGTGAAAGATGATCCGCCACCACCACATTTATGTGCTGGTGAACCAGCCAAGCCAACTGAACATCGCCGTCAGCATTCCAGAAGCCAGCTGTGGCTGCAATTGCGATGCGAGGTGAGGAGCTTTTTAGGTGGAGACTTGTTCGTGAGCTCCTTGAGAAGGCGGAAGTATGAAGAGTAGAGCAGTTGGTAGGAAGGAGGAGCGAGATTACGAAGAGTGACGTAGGTTCTTAGACACTCCGCTGGTAAGAAGGCAGGGGTTCCTCGACTTAGAAATGAAACAAGATTAGGGTTGTGCTGGCTCAGGCGCACTCCGATCCTTGATGTGAAAGTCCTGTGTAGCACAGCGGCGCAATTCGTGGAGTATTACCCAGGGGTGAATGCTTTTCGTAACACAGGGGCCCCTAAGGCGACGGGGTGGCTGTGCTTTTGAACCTGACCAAGTGTTGCTGCTCACGGCCCTCCCTTACCTGTCCGCTCATATTCTTGGAGTTTCAGCACTCAGCCTTTTAGCGTGCTCAAAACAAGGGTCGTTGAAAGTGATTAGACATCGCCGTCCAATCATGAAGCGAGATGATGACGATGAGCTCGAGGTGTCGTTTCCGCCAGAGTGTCCCTCCAATGACAGTTCGGCTTCACCAGCTCGTTGGGTTGCAGAGTGCGAAGTTGAGGAGCCGGAAATTCTTAGGGGATATCAACACTTAGGTATGCCCTCGTCGAGGGACAGTTGGGCGTTGTCTTGTTATATATGTCGTGTTCGACTGCTTCAGTATTTGTGGTTTCGCCCACACAAATCTTGAGGCGCATTTATTTATTTATTTTCCATGATGTTTTGATTGCAGAGGTCGATTCTCCGAGGAACCATCCGACCTTGTCACTCTCCTCTCTCGTCGTTCCTAGTCGACATACACAAGTGACTCAGGTCATTTCCAGTCTTGAGCTCCCAGCGTTCATACAAGGCGCTTTGAGCCTTGTCAGGGTCTCAGAGCATTTCACTGGATGGATTTTTTCAATTACAAGGAATTGTCGCCAGGCTGCCAATGTCCTTATGGCGCTATGGGGTACAGATTTGTTCTTTTCAAGGACGCGTATTGCTATTTGAGGTCTCAAGGACCCTGACAACTTGGATTTGGTGCTGCTTGAGCGCCTTTCCTCTGTTTGTAACTGGAGAATTTGTGTTCAAATATCCAGAGGTGCACATGTATTTCACATGAGCAGCTGGAGAGTGCAGGTGATGGATGACACACATTGAAGGTTTGTGTGGTGGTGCTGTTGGTCATGTTGCGCACATGAGTCGTGACCCTGTGATGTACATAAATGTAAAAAATACTTCTGTTTCACCTAGAACGATGTACATAGTGATATGCCCAATTCACCTTCTAGGCCTGTTTTGCTGCTGAACATGCTCAGAGTTTTGTGTCTGCCGTTTTCAGGTGCAGGGGAATCACAGTAGCAAAGGGAAAAAGGGTTCATCATTGTGTCTCCCTCACCATTCCATTTCAAAATAAGCATGCCCTAGTTAGTTGACTTACCATTCGCTGTTTCATAAGTTCCTGGTTGCCTTGCAGCACTAGGCTGAATATCATTTTCGGCGAAGCCCACGCCAGATACCAATTCCGGTTGCACGAACAACGTGTGGTAACCGTTCCACTGGGGCCAGCAACAGTTCGTCCAGCAACAGTTGGTGGACTTCCAGAAAGCCTTCGACTCGGTGTCGAGGGATTTCCTATTCGAAGTCTTGGCCCGGATGGGTTTCCCGGAACGCTTCGTGAGCTGGGTCAAGGGCCTGCACGAGAACACATCAACGAAACTATTGGTTAACGGCTGGCTGGGGAAAGGAGTGGAAGTGGTGTCGGGCGTGCGGCAAGGGTGTCCGCTGGCGCCGTACCTCTTTCTCTGCACGGTGGAACCGTTGGCGCGGGAAGTGGAGAGGCAGGAGCTCGGTCTGTCCAAGCAAAACTTTCGCTTCAACTATCTTGGTTATGCAGACAACACGACGTTGGCACTGCAAGGAGCAGAGCAAATTGTTAAAGCCGAGGAGGTGCTGGACCGTTTTGAAAAGGCATCCGGTCTGGCAACTAACAAATCGAAGTCGGTGCTGTTACCTCTTGGTGCGAATCTGGGATCGAAGGGTGATGGTACGAGCAGTTTCAAGTGGGCCGGCGCGGACGAAGCGGAGCGCCTGCTGGGAGTCTGGGTAACGCCTTCTGGTAGCGGCTTGCCGACCTGGGAGAAGGCGTGGGCACACATTATGGAGAAATTAACGAAGTGGCAGTTGAAGTACCTCACGTTGTCGGCAAGAGCTACGGTGGTCAACAGCTACATCACCCCGCTACTGGCTTTTCAAGCGCAAATCTACCCCCCACCTTCGTTCATCTGGGAGGAGATTACCAGGCTGCTGCAGAGCTTCTTGTCGGGTAATCGCGTGGCGACGGTGAAGGGCTTCATTCTGTGGAGTAGGACGCTGTTGTACACCCCAAGGGAGGCTGGAGGCATCGGGGTAAAGGACCCGGAGATTGTGATCACCTGCCTTGCTGCCAGGCGGGTGGGTCTCTATCTTACGGAGCGAAACCCCATGAAGAAGGAGATCATGAGGCAGGCGGCTGATCTGCCCCTGGGCGCCGACACATTCTCTTCACACGCAAACCTGCTGAAACATTGGGAGGGGAGAAGCACCAGATGGAAGCAGACGTGCGAGAGTTTTGTTAACTCGCCGCTCTGCGTCCGGCCTGCGGCGGTCAGCAGAGAGGAGATTTTAAAGGAACGCTTGGTTTTCAACAGAGCTTCGCTGCTACAGACACCGATTGGTGGCCAAAAGGATAGTAAGGGCCTATGGGAGGTGCGCGTTGGCGATCTGCTGGAGGAGGTTGCCAGCGGTGATCTCGCGCTCAAGCAGCAACGGACGTTGTCGCAGCAGCTCGGTGGCAGCGGTCCAGCGAGATTGGCGGTGAAGGCGCTGATCACTTTGCCAGCGCCCTGGCTGCAGTCGCTGGGTTTTGCATCGGTCCCGCCCTGCTCGACTACCTCTAACCCCCCGTTGAACATTCTGGAGGGTGGGGAGGTGATTCCCATTAGGAGGATGAGGGAGTGCTGGAAAGGGGTGTACCAAGAATCGAACAAGCGGGAGAAGTGGGTGCGAAGATGGGGGAGGCCAATCAACTGGAAGCGTGTGGTTTCATCACGGGACTCGTTGGCGGTGCCCAGCCGTCCACGTGACGTTCTCCTCCGCATCCACGGCCTAAACTTGCAGGTGGGGGAGCGGCTTGCGTTCCTAAGCGGAAAACCGGTTTGTCCCTACTGCGCGGGGGAGGAGACCTTGGACCACTGCCTCCTCCTCTGCCCTCGAATACAGACTGTAACATCATCTCTCAGGCGTGCTCTGCGCATGCTGAATCCTAACCGCCCATCTGACACGCTTGGGGACTTACTGTTCCGGAAAACGGGGTCCAGCTCAGCTTTTCCGGAGCTGACCCTCACGTCCATTGTTTTTCATCAGCTGTGGGTTGAACGGTGCGAAGCTGTTTTCCGCGGGCAGAAATTTCGCACGAACCGAGTACTTCACAAGATTGAGTTCGCTTTCAGGCAACATGCACGGATCTACACTCGGAAGTTTGGCGTGGCCAGCCACAAGCGGCATCGGAAAAATCTTTCGGAGGAACAGTCCATGCTGGGGAAAATCAAAGTGGCCGGCAATAGCTGGAAGTGGACAAGTACATTCGCTGCTCTGTGGTCCAGGAGGAGGGCTAGCATTTCCCGCCCTTAAAACCCAGGGTCCACAGGTTTCAAAGGTAGGAAGGTTGGTTGGACTTAGTGACAAAACCAAAGGTAGGAAGCTTGGTTGGACTTTGTGACCCAACCAAAGGTAGGAAGGATGAGGCAACTACGGGAAACTTGAGACTCCGGTTTTAAGTTATCCCATCTGGAACAGTAGGTCACTCTCTGTTCCTCACGCGCGGTTACGACCGTTATGGGGTATATGCTTGCTCACTCGGTGTATACTTTTCATTTAATCAAAAAAAAAAAAAAAAAAAAAAAAAAAAAAAAAAAAAAAAAAAAAAAAAAAAAAAAAAAAAAAAAAAAAAAAAAAAAACAGTTCGTCCAGGCTCGACGATACTCGCGAACGCTCATCCTCAATTTCGGTCCTGGCAGTCAAGTTCAGATGAACTGTTGACAGCCAAGTCTCTGTCGAGATTGTCAGGCAGGTGTCATTCTGAGGGAAGAGGAAACATTCTGTTTCCCAGCAGCTCTTTCTCAAGACCACCACCTTCTGTCTTCCGCTGCTGCTTGTGTTCACCGCTTTCGCCACGATTATGCACTGACTGAGCTCACAAAGAGACTTTGAGGTCAGGGCATATATTAGTTGGGAATTGTGCGCTCGCCATTTGCAGTTACAATTTCGGGGAGAAGCTTAATTTTGTTTCGTAGTTTACTCGCAAAGAACAGTTTACTTTTTCCTTTCCATCACGAGCTTCTGAAAACTCGACCATCGTACACAATGGATACCACATGCAGAGGCGAGCGTTCAAATTAAAAACATCGCAGCCTTTATTCGGTCCCAGATTTTCAAGAGATTATTGCAGCGGTAGCCTATCTGATCCTCTCCGGAGCCTCGATTTCCACCAAATCTGTTGCCATGTACAGTAACTTTAAGGAGCAAGGGATTGAGTATGCGAAGCAGGCTGTACAGGAGGATACAGCTGGCAACTATGCCAAGGCCTTGCCCCTTTACATGAACGCGCTCGAGTATTTTAAGACCCACTTGAAGTACGAGAAGAACCCGAAGATTAAAGACGCGATTCAGGCCAAGTTCGTGGAATACCTAGATCGAGCCGAGCAGATTAAGGAGGTATTGGAAGGAGCACCGCAGAACGGAGCGCCGGGAGACGCGGCGTCTGCCATCAAGCCGAAGGCGAAGAAAGGCGGAGCTGGTGGTGGTGGGGATGACGACGCTGACAACATGAAGCTTCGATCGGGGTTGAATTCGGCCATTGTGCGAGAGAAGCCGAATATCAAGTGGTCCGACGTGGCAGGATTGGAAGGCGCGAAGCAGGCGCTACAGGAAGCGGTCATCCTGCCAGTCAAATTCCCGCAGTTCTTCACAGGTGCGTACCTCGCGCTCTGAGTCGTGTTTTGGGTCGACTCAAAGCAGGCGCTACAGGAAGCGGTCATCCTGCCAGTCAAATTCCCGCAGTTTTTCACAGGTGAGTACCCACCTCGCTCCCATTGGCGGTTGACTGACCTATTCCATGACGTCTTGCTGTTACGCACATAGCGAAGTCATGTTTTCCATGACGTCTTGCATTGAGTCAATGTTGTCGTAAAACCTTCATCTTACACTCTACACCGCCACGTGTTTCTGACATTTACTCCGCAAAGCGACCTGTACATGCGGCACATGTTTCCCATCCTTCGAATGCATGTCTGTGCATCTATCTATCCCAGGCAAGAGGCGGCCATGGAGAGCGTTCCTCCTGTACGGCCCGCCAGGCACTGGCAAGTCGTATCTCGCCAAGGCCGTCGCCACGGAGGCCGACTCTACCTTCTTCAGGTTAGTCTGGGGGATTGTTTCGATTGCTGTTGATATTTCAGGTATTTCCTCCCTGGCATGGCTCTCCAGGCACTGGTAATTGTGTTTCTCCAAGGCCATGACTCAACCTTTTTCAGGTTAGTCTGAGGGTCTGATTGGTGGAATATCTCGTGGTCAGATTCTGGGCATTCCCTCTTGTACGGCTCTCCAGTCATATCCCCGACGCCCATCTTATGCACTTCCCCCCAATCCACCCACCCCATTCCTCTCTCTGCAGCATCTGGTCCTCCGACCTGGTGTCCAAGTGGACTGGCGAGAGCGAGAAGCTGTAGTGGTGCACCTCGTAACAATCCCTCCCCTCCCTCCCCCACCCTCCCACCTTTCCCCGCTGCTCCCCCCCCCCATACCTCCCTTCGCTGCAGCATCTCGTCATCGGACCTGGTGTCCAAGTGGACTGGCAAGAACGAGAAGCTTTAATGGTGCACCTCGTAACACTTCTTCAACCCTCCCTCCCCTCCCTCCCCCACCCTCCCACCTTCCCCCCCTGCTTCTCCCCCCCATCCCGCCCTCTTCACTGCAGCATCTCGTCGTCCGACCTCGTGTCCAAGTGGATGGGCGAGAGCGAGAAGCTGGTGGCGAATCTGTTTCAAATGGCGCGGGAGAGTGCGCCGTCCATCATCTTCATCGATGAGATCGACTCGCTGTGCGGCCAGAGGGGCGAGGGCAACGAGAGCGAGGCATCCCGGCGCATCAAGACAGAGTTCCTCGTCCAGATGCAGGTGACAAGGATGATGGTGGGGCGGCTAGTGATACGACGGTTACAGTCATGTAAGGGAGAGAGCGAGTATGCATAAAACCATTTTTTTTTTCTCCAGGTGCAGGTAACAAGGAGGACAATGAGCGGGTTGTTGTGTGAGGTGGGTAGCAGTTTGGGAAGGGTGAGGCGGTTAGCATTCCCGCCTCCCACTCCAGATGCAGGTAACACCATTTCTCCATCCCTCTGATCCGCCTCCCTCCCTCCCTCTCCCTCCCTCTCCCTCCCTCCTTCCCTCCCTGCCTCCCTCCCTCCCTGCCTCCCTCCCTCCCTCCCTCCCTCCCCAGGGTGTGGGCACGGAGGACAACAAAGTGCTGGTACTCGCTGCCACCAACACCCCCTACTCCCTCGACCAGGTGAGCACGCTGCTTTCGTGCTCTTTGCCTCGTTCTTGATGCGCCTCACCAAGGCAACGAGGACAACAAGGTGCTGGTGCTTGCCGCCACCAACACGCCCTACTCCCTCGACCAGGTGAGTGTGCTAGTTCCATGCTGCTTGCTCCCTATCCCCTTTGTTTGTCGTCCCCTCCCCATCCCCAATCACCTCACTACACCGTTTCCCCCGCTCCCCCAATGCTCCCCCCTCGTTTCCCTGCCACGTCCCTTGCCGTTATCCAAAGTTCCCTTGTTTCCACTGCTGTCTGCACTTGACTTTTGAGTCGACTCAAAAGTCAACTCGTCTCCCTGCCACGTCCCTCGCCGTTATCCAAAGTTTCCGTGTTTCCGCTGCTGTCTGCACTTGCTTGGTCACACGCCCTTCCTCCCAGGCGGTGCGGCGGCGCTTTGACAAGCGAATCTACATCCCACTACCGGATGTGAAGGCCAGGCAGCACATGTTCAAGGCAAGTGAGACAGGCACATGCATGAAGGTTGGGGTAGGCAAATGCATGATGCGGAGGTGCCTTGAGGTACCTCGAAAGCAGCATGTGTACAAGGTGAGTGGCACGCTGGTTTGATGTTGGGTGGGAATGCCAACAAGAGGTAAAGGGCAATGCAGGAGGGGCATCTGGAGGCACACCCTACAGTCTGCCAGAGGAGAAACGCTTCTTTGTCCCCTTCCAAGGCATTTCCTCCCTCCCCTTTCTCCCGTACCTCTCCAGGTGCATCTAGGGGACACGCCCTACAGCCTGTCAGAGGAAGACTTTGAGGAGCTGGCTGTTGGAAACGGTTCTAAGTCCCCTGCGAGGCATTTCCTCCCGCCCCCTTATTCCTCTGCAGGTGCATCTAGGGGACACGCCCTACAGCTTGTCCGAGAAGGACTTTGAGGAGCTGGCTCAGAAGACAGATGGATTCTCGGGGTCGGATATTTCCGTCTGTGTAAGTTGAAACCGATTCTGTGAGTGTTGGGTTGCTCATGATGTTGCTCGTTGGTGCTGCTAGTCAGTGATGCTTCACGTGGCAGCTCCGCCTCACCCTGACATTGCCAGCGTGCTTTTTTGTTACCTTGACATCTGGCCCGCTGTTCCGTTCCTCCTCTTGCCGAGCGACCTCCTGCACCTGCTTTGTTCATTGTCTGCCTGTGTGTCCTCCTCAAGGTGTTTCTCTTAATGCCCTGCCTGCCATGTGCATCTCACCAGGTGAAGGATGTCCTATTTGAGCCCGTTCGGAAGACGCAAGATGCCATGCACTTCAAGAAGGTGAGACACAGAACAGAATGTGGCGTCTGCCACACATCATGTTGTCAAGTCAAGATGTTCAGTATTCAGGACTGATGCGCTTGTGTCAGATCTTAGGATCCTTCCAGAACTTTCTGCTCTCTCCGTTCTTTGCCTTCCAGATGCTCTGTTTCCAACATCCCCGCTTCCGCCCCTCCTCACCCGCCCTGCTCCCCACCCCACTTCTTAACCCATCTCACCATATTCAGAGTCGCACCTCCATGCATATCACCCTGCATTTTCCCTCCCTTTCCCCCCCTCGGTCTCCCTCCCATGTCCCTCCTCTTTCCCTGCCCTCCCTCTCCTCTCCCTCCCCACTTCCTACCCTCTCCGTCACCTCTCTTCCCCCATCTCACCAGGTGCCCAAGGACGGCGACGTGTGCTACATGCCGTGTGGGCCCCGGGAGCCCCACCACTTACTTCCCCTCCCCTCTCCCTCCGCTCTCCCTCCGCCCTCGTTCCCTCATACCTGGTGCCCAAGGATGGGGACGTGTGTTACATGCTGTGTGGGCCGCAGGAGCCAGGATCCATCCAGATGAGACCACCATGCACCCTGTCTCTCCCCTCTCCCTCCCCTCTCACCAGGTGCCCAAGGACGGCGACTTCTGCTACATGCCGTGTGGGCCACGCGAGCCAGGCGCCATCCAGACCACCATGGAGGAGCTTGCAGCACAGGGGCTGGGGGAGAAGGTGAGTCCGGGGAAGGAAGGTAAGGGAGATGTGGCGTGTGCTACATGCCGTGTGGGCCGCGGGAGCCAGGCGCCGTCCAGACCACCATGGAGGAGCTTGCAGCGCAGGGGCTGGGGGAGAAGGTGAGGGTGGGAAGGGAAAGGAAATCTTCAAGGATTGAGGTGGGATGGTAGGGGGAACGGGGTGATACGGTGTATGCGGAAAGCAGGCACCATGGGTTGCATTTCAAGGACCGAGACAAGCGCAGCAGCCTTCTCATGCCATCACGTCTCGGCCCTCACCCTTGGTGACTGAGTTTTTTGTGGCGACTTTGTTTTGGGTGGCCTTCACTTGGTTTTGCTGCAGATTGTTCCTCCACCCATCATGAAGACGGACTTTGACAAGGTGTTGTCACGACAGAAGCCAACAGTAAGCAAAGACGACTTAAAGATTCAAGAGAAGTTCACGGAAGAGTTTGGGGAGGAAGGGTGAATGTGGAGTGTTATGAACGGGCGTTGGCACATTGATGAGTTGGTGCACTACAATTCGTGTTTACCATGTATTCTAGCATTCTTCATTGTAGCAAAATGAGATTAGGTTTTAGTGGACTCCTGCGTTTGTCCATAATGTATAAACCGTTCTCGTTGTAAGGAATTTTCCCGAATTCCTTATCGGGGTTGACTGCTACGCGTACAGCCCGATTTTCGGACTTTGCACGTTCGGTCGATTTCAACGCTGCCGAGGCTCCTCGCGTCGCCTTCGGCATTTCCCATCGCCAAACCTGCACCCCAACCTCGCTCGTCCGAGGTTTCCTCATAGCTAAGCTAGCCCCTACATTAGTCTGTGCCTTCATTGTATTCTCAGATCAGTTAATCACAGACTCGTTATTCGTTTACCTGCGCACTCTCTTTTACAACTCATAACACCTGGTATCAGAGCTACTTTCCTAGTTCACCCCGCTTTTCCGAGGGTAGTTTGGTGGCAGAGGGCGTGGCTGGTTTAGTGACTACACGACGGTTGGCTGCAGGGATTGTTAATTCAATCCTGCCCGACTCCGATAGTTCGTGTTTTCACTTGCCTGAAGGCCACGGGTACCCGACTGCCCACCAGACGTAGCGCTAGGCACATGGATCAGGAGGAGGTTAACAAGATGATGGCGCAAGTGGCAGCAATGTAGGAGAGCATGAAGTCGTTCATGGCGGAAGTGACAACACTGCGTGAAGAAAACGCCGAGCTGCGCCAGACGCGAGGTGAAGCGCGTCAGGTGTCGCCCGAGGACGAAGGCGAGGGCAACAGTCAAGCGGTGAGCAATCCTTTGGACGCGCTCACACGTGACTTCGAAGAAGAGGATAGGCAACGAGCAGCGTCAACGCCAGTTGCAGTAACGACGATCAAGATCAAACCCGTCAACCCGCCCCCGTTTAATCCTACGGACAAGACGGTTACAGTAAAAGGGTGGCTGTTCAGGGTCGAGGTCTTCTTCACTGCAGCAGGAGTTAATGACGATGCCACGCGTATTAATTACGCGGTTTCGCTTCTTCGAGGCGCAGCGCTTGAGTGGTGGCGCCGAACCTTGGAAACGGGGACACCGACAGGTGTGACGCATGCGGCAGACGGGACCTTGTTTAAAGTTTAGAAGAAAGAAGAGGATTGCACTAGCAAGAATGAGGATACAAATAGCAAACCCTAGAAGGGTTGTACTCGCTATAGAGCACCCCACTACAGGCTAGAGCATAAGATAACATTCTGACACACCCCCATAGCCAAAGTGGGGTGTAATCAGCAGAGTAAGCAAAGGAGTACAAGCTCAGGGTGGATCACAATGTCACCACACATTCTGAGCACAAGTTCAAGAAGCAATAGTTTAAGTTCACAATTATGAGCAAAGCTAGTGGTAGTCACAACGGGCAAGTGAGGAGGAGGAGAGAGAGTGAGAGGAGAGGAGATAGGAGGCGACCGCTGAAGCTGCAGACACACAGGCAACAGGAGGCAGACTGGCACAGCGGCTACCGGACGAAGTCCCCGGAATACAGGAGTAACAGGCCCCGCGGCTAAAGTAGCGGCAGACGAGCAACGGACCCACGGGCGGCTGGCACAGCTGGCTACGACTGGGCTACCGGACGAAGTCCCCGGAATACAGGTGCTGCTGGCGACACGACGGCAACCTCCATTCAGCTTCCCCAAACTATCCCACTCCCCCCTGGCACATACCCGCTGCTACACCGCTAGCTCCACTCCCCCTTCACCCCCCCTTAGTACCACTCCACCGGCTCCAACACGTCCACCCCCCCTCAGCGGCAGCTGCAGCACAGGGAGACGGAGGAGGAGGAGGAGCAGGGAACAGTACACAGTGGGTGCACCCCCATACCCCGCACCCCCAAACCCTAATACAGGAGAATGGGGAGTAGGAGGGGTGGGGCACGAGTAGAAGCGCTGGGGGACAGTAGGGAGGGCAGGGGCAGCAAGGAGCGGGCCCACCACGGGCCTGGTAGGGTCGCCCGAACCGCGCGTAGGCGGCCTGAGCCGCGCGCGGGCCTGGCGCCGCCCGTACGGGCCGCGCGCGGGCCTGGCGCAGCCCGTACGGGTGGCGCGCGGGCCTGGCGCAGCCCGTACGGGTCGCGCGCGGGCCTGGCGCAGCCCGTACGGGTCGCGCGCTGCCTATACGGGCCGCGCGCAGGCCACGACGGGCGACGGGGGGCGACGAACGGGTCCCCGTCGCCCGTCGCGGCGCCTCCCGAGGGCGACGCGACGGTTGACGGGGCCGAAGCCCGCCGCGCGCCTCGGGGCGCACAGCGGGCAGAGAACCGCCGCGCGCCTCGGGGCGCACGGCGGGCAGAAAACCGCCGCGCGCCTCGGGGCGCACGGCGGGAAGAAAACCGCCGCGCGCCTCGGGGCGCACGGCGGGAAGAAAACTGCCACACGCCACGGGGCGTGCGGCACCGAGTGTAGTGGTAGGAGTTGCAGCGGAAGCTAGGAGGTGGTAAGCCCACCCACAGGATCGATCCAAGGGGATCGACCTACTCTGATAGCATGTTTAAAGTTTAGAAGAAAGAAGAGGATTGCACTAGCAAGAATGAGGATACAAATAGCAAACCCTAGAAGGGTTGTACTCGCTACAGAGCACCCCACTACAGGCTAGAGCATAAGATAACATTCTGACAGACCTCAACAATGACTAATCAAGTGGCAGAATCAATCTTCGGAGTGACCAGGATACGCACATGGAAGGAGTGGGGCGCAGCCTTACGAGATCGCTTCGAGCACGTATTCGCCTCGGAGCAAGCTCGCATGAAGCTGCGTGCATGGTCGCAGATGGCTTCTGTCCAAGACTACACGGCGTCATTTATGGGCCTCGCCGACCAAGTGGATGACATGTCGGAAGCAGAGCGGTTGGATAAATATATCAGCGGCCTCAAATACGAGATACAGTACGAGGTTCGAAGGGGCCGCCCGACATCATGCCTTGAAGCAGTACGGTTGGCGGAGTCTACAGATGCGCTGATGCAGTACGCGAGAACGGCTTCCAGGGATGTGAACCGTTTTCGTGGCCAGACCCATCGGGCCACAATCAACGCCGTCCATACACCCGACCACCCTCCTAAGGGACCGTGTTACCGGTGTGGGAAGACGGGTCACTACATGAAAGACTGCCGCGAGAAAACGCCGCTGACGGGGAACGACAGGAAGGAGCAGGGAAATGGGAAGAGTCAGTAATTAGCGGGCCCTTTACTGACTGTGCTCCGTCGCCCGAACACCACCATCCCCACCGAGTCGTGGTTCCGATTCATGCAATCGATCGCACTCGGCCGAATAACGGGGATACACATGTGGATCACCCTGTGCTGGTCGCTGGCAAGGTGTTAAAAAATAACTTGAAAATGTTCGTCGATGGAGGGGCCAGCCATAGCCTCTTCAACTTGGCGAGCGCAAAAAAATGCAAGCTGCAACTTGACAGGTGTCTGCCCGAAATCGACGCTCGCCTCGTGGATGGGACGCCTCTGGCGATAACGGAAGAAACACGGACGGTCAGGATCGAATGCGGCGACGATTTCGGCTTCAGCATGAAGTTCCTCGCGAGAACACTGGACGGCTGCGACGTGCTGCTGGGACGTGATTGGCTGCGACGGCACAACCCCGTCATCGACTGGACAACGGGATCGTGCAGCGTCAACAAGCACGAGGGGCCAATTAAACTGCCTGCATGGACACCTGACTACATCCAAGCCCCGTGCGTCAAAGCTATCACTATAGCTCGCCACTTCAACAAGGGCGCGCAGCTGTTCGCTGTTTGCTTACGCGAGTTGGCGGTTGACACCGACGGAAAAGACATCGAGAAGCTGTGTGCAGCTGTACCACCGGATTTAGCGGAGCTGATTCGGAGGTACCCTGACATTTTCCCCGACGATCTGCCACCTGGACTGCCACCCGAGAGACCTGAGGACCACAAAATCCAGCTGGAACCTGGCGCGCAGCCGACTGTTCGGACACAGTGGCGGTTGACCCAGCCGGAACTCGAGGAGCTGCGAAGTCAAATTGACGCACTGTTGGAGAAAGGGTTCATTCGGGCCAGCACATCTCCATTCGCAGCACCGATACTGTTCACTCCAAAGAAAGACGGCGGGCTTCGCATGTGCATCGACTATCGCGCGCTGAACCGGGTCACCATCAAGTCTCGTTATCCAATCCCACGTACCGACATCCTCCTCGACCAACTTCGCGGCGCTCGCTATTTCTCAAAGATTGACTTACGTGGCGGTTACCACCAGATTCGAGTCTTCGCCGACGACTGTCACAAGACTGCGTTCCGCACACGCTACGGGAGTTACGAATTTACAGTGATGCCTTTCGGCCTCACGAACGCGCCTTCGACATTTCAACTGACCATGAACAGGGTTTTTCGGGATCTTCTAGACCGATGCGTTATCGTCTACTTGGACGATATCCTTATATTTAGCAAGACACGGGAACAACACCTCCGCGACCTGGATGCAGTGTTTAAGCGGCTGCAGGAGAACCGACTCATCACCAAGGGCTCTAAGTGCGAGTTTTTTAAGCAGGAGTTGGAGTTTTGGGGGCACGTTATCTCGCGAGAAGGCATTAAAATCGACCCGGCGAAAATCAAGACCATACAGGAGTGGAAGTCCCCGACGAATGTCACGGAACTTCAGAGTTTTCTGGGGTTCGTGAATTACGTCAGGCGTTTTATCCCGAATATGGCGAGGATAACCGGCCCGCTAACCGACCTGCTGCATAAGGACAGGAATTTTGTGTGGGGGGAGGAGGCAGAAGCGGCTTTCCTGGAACTCAAGAATTTTCTAGTTTCCCCTCCTGTGCTGCGCATCGCCGATCCATCGAAGCCGTTCGAAGTTATCACCGACGCCTCAGATTTCGCCATCGGAGCTGTGCTTCTCCAAGATTTCGGGAACGGGTTGCAGCCGATTGCCTACGAATCACGCAAGCTGCAGGCAGCTGAACGCAACTACCCGATCCACGACAAGGAGATGCTCGCCATCATCCACGCGTTTAAGTTATGGCGATGCTACCTGGTGGGCGCCGACGTCACTGTTCGCACAGACCACAAGTCCCTACAGTACCTGCGAGCCCAACCCAACCTCAACCCACGACAGATTCGGTGGCTGGACTACATGGAGAGCCACTTCACCTACCGCATCACGTACAAAAAAGGGGCGAATAACATCGCCGACGCCCTGACCCGACCGACAGTACAATCCGCTGCAGTACTCATCACCCATTCGAACCCATTACTTACCGGACTATTCACCCACGACTACACTACGGACCCATTCTTCACGACTGGAAATCATCAGCAGGCCACGACGCAGAAAGGGGATTATTACCTAAAAGTCGGAACCGACCGGATTTGGGTTCCCGCTTACAGGCTGCTGCGTGAACTCCTTATCCAGGAGGTCCACGATTCAAACTTCTCCGGACACTTCGGGGTTGATAAAACCCAGAAATTACTGCACCGTCAATATTATTGGCCTGATTCCTCTAACGACGTGCAGCGATATGTGTCCTCATGCAGGGTGTGCCAAGCCATGAAATCGACACGTCAACGGCCAGCTGGGCTGCTGCAACCCCTCGAGCCACCCGAACGACCGTGGCAGCAAGTGACAATGGACTTTGTCACGGGGATGCCAGCTGGACCGTCCGGCAACGCCGCTGTCCTCGTCGTCGTCGATCGCTTCACGAAAATGGCGCACTTCGCCCCATGCCGAACAACAATCACAGCCGAAGGAACTGTGCGAATCTTCATCTCAACGGTCGTGCGACTGCACGGAATCCCCTCTGCGATCATTAGCGACCGCGACCCGAAGTTTACATCAAAATTCTGGAAGGAGACGTGGGCGCAGTACGGCACGAAACTACAATTCTCATCGGCTTATCACCCACAGACGGACGGCCAGACCGAGTGGACCAATCAGACCATGGAGCAGCTGATCAGGATAAACTGCCCCGACCCTGTCCGCTGGGAAGAATCCCTTGCCATGTTGGAGTTCGCTTTCAACAACGCCCCGTCCATCACGACTAATCACTCCCCGTTTTTCCTGAATTACGGGATGGACCCGACGGTTCCTACAGCGACTTCCCTCGACAACCCGGTCCCGAGAACACAAACTTTTGTGACGGAACTACAGGAAGTCCGGGAAAAAGCCGCCGACGCAATTCGAAAGGCGAATATCACTTCCCGCAAATACACCGACCTTCTACGACGGGAACTCGTCTTGACTACTGGGCAACTAGTGCTACTCGACACGAAAAACCTGCACCTGCCCGGCCCGTCGAAATTACGGCCACGATTTTGTGGGCCTTTCAAGATTATCAAGATGGTGACACCTGTCACCGCGAAGCTGCTGCTACCCGACGACTGGCGAATTCATGACGCCTTCCACGTCAGCCTGCTTCGCAAGTTCGTGCCAGCCACGACAGACATCGCGAGGCAACAAGCTGCCCCAACAGCACGACCTGTCTCGGAGCCGACTCTCGACCCTTCGAAGATTCTGGCACATCGGGTTCGACTTGACGCAGCTGGTCGCCACGTGGATTCCTTGGTCCGTTGGACCAATCGCACCAGTGAGGACGACACGTGGGTGCACTCTGACTCGCTAACCGCATCGTCACTTGTTGGTGACTACTTGGCGCGAAAGCGTGTTTCGGATATTGACCGCCTTTCTTAAGGGGGGGGGGGGTAGTGTAAGGAATTTTCCCGAATTCCTTATCGGGGTTGACTGCTACGCGTACAGCCCGATTTTCGGAATTTGCACGTTCGGCCGATTTCAACGCTGCCGAGGCTCCTCGCGTCGCCTTCGGCATTTCCCATCGCCAAACCTGCACCCCAACCTCGCTCGTCCGAGGTTTCCTCCTAGCTAGGCTAGCCCCTACATTAGTCTGTGCCTTCATTGTATTCTCATATCAGTTCATCACAGACTCGTTATTCGTTTACCTGCGCACCCTCTTTTACAACTCATAACACTCGTTGTACGCGTAACAATTACCCAGTCCATTTTGCGCAGATCCTATTCAGCAGGAGCATTTCGACCAATCGCGCGTTGCCATCATGGAAAAGCACTCCAGGATCAGCTCGATTTTCCCAATGTCCGCTTGTTCGCATATTCTCCCATCCGCCAACCCGAGCTGGCGGAAAGATCTGCCGCCACTGGCGCCGGTTGCCGAAGAACAAGCACCAGAAACCGCACCGCACCGCAATATCAGCCTTCTAGCAGTGAGTGCGGCGGGGTGGGGAGGACATTCCCGCTTTCCCCACACAGAGCCCACTTCACGCTTTTGATTTTCGCGCTCTTTTTCCCTGCGCCCCTGGCCGCCGCCCAGGCGAACCTCGATAGTGTCATTTCGCTTCCGTTCCAACACCATTTCCAACCTGCCCTGACCACGCCACCCAAGCTTCCCTCCAACTCCCCCTTGGGTTCAAACAAGCAAGCAAGCAGAAGTTCTGGGTTTATTTTGACTAGCGTTGTTCGTGCTTCCGCGTTGTCTTCTCTGTTGCGTTCTTTTGAGCCAGATCGCCGGTCGCTGCGGTGGTACGGTCTTCTGTGCAGAAACGAGGGCTGAAACGCCTAAGGGAAGGGCTCCGGCCGCTTTGTGTCCAGTGATTCGCAGGTGACTTTCTTTACCTTATTTCTTCTAGGCGTGGCCTTCCGCATCCAGATTTTGCTGCATTTAGGGAGACGGCGAGCCCTGTAGTTGCTCCCGTGACATCACCTGCCCGTGCGTTGATCTTCCGTCTCAGATCCGCTTTATACAAGCCCTTTGGTCTCTCCCTTTACTCCTTGATCTCTCCCATACCTCTCTGATCTCTTTCGCTAGCACCGTATCTGCCTGCCTCCGCTTTCTGCCGTTGGTTCTCCTCCTCAACTCTTCTTTCCGTCTTCACATTCGCATCTTCAACCAGCAACACCTTTAGCACCACCATCCTTTCCCCATGCCCTGATCCTTCGCCCGCATTTCAGCGCAATTGCGGGGATTTGATTCCGCCGGAAGGCGCTGCTTCCCGTGGCCATGGAGGGACTGCTTTCCGCGTGCCTGCTGCAGCCGCGTGCGCTTGCGCTCGGCGTTTCCCCCTGCCTCCCGCGCTCCTCCTCCCGCCATCCGCGCACGCGTTTGCGCTCCGCCACTGTCCCCACCGCCATCAGCGGAGCTGGCGCTGCACGACTCGGTAGCAAATGGCTCGGATCTCGAAGCATTTCCGCTGCTCGGAACCTGGCCCCGGGAACTATCGTTTCTTGCCCGGCGCCAGTGGTGCTGCCACGTGGCGTAGCACGGCCTGTTGTGGTGGCGACGGCTGGTCAGACCCCGAAGGCAGTTTCGGTGAGTAGTGAACCTTCTCACCCAGCGCTGCAGCTTACTGTAGAGTGGTGGACAGTCTTAGGGCGCACCCGTACCCCTTGTCAGGCCACTGGGGACACGGAATGGGGCTGGGGGGACGGGCAACGGGGGACGGGGCACGGGGGACGGGGCACGGGGGACGGGGCAACGGGGCACGGAGGACGGGGGACGGAGGACGCGGAAGGAAGGATACTGTAATCACTCTTCAGCCACACTGCTGACGTCACAAGATCGGGAATCTAAATGACTGACACGCAGTGAGCTGAAACGGGGCAGGACCTGTACCCTTAACGTTGCTTCTTCGTCCACCCCATTCTCCGCAGGGTGATGCGGTGGTGGCTGACAGCAGCGAGTCGGCCCCGTCTACTTCTTCCCATGCGCGTGAGGTCACCCACTTCTACCGCCACCCGCTCCTCTCCGACGCTGCCACACAATCGCTGCTCCACAAGGTAACATTCCGTTTACAAGACTTATGCTCACTGTGTCCCGTCTGCCTCCTCCCGAGCGCGTGCGGTCACTCACTCCTACCGCCACCCACTCCTCTCCGACGCTGCCACGGAATCGCTGCTTCACAAGGTAACCGCCACCCGCTCCTCTCTGTCTACTGAGAGCTCTTTGTCCTTCCTTCCATGCCCTCTCTCCTTCCTTCCATGCCCTCTCTCCTTCCTTCCATGCCCTCTCTCCGCCGCTGTTCCACATCTTTCCGTCTTGTCATGTCCGTAACCCCGCTACCCCCTTGCCTCAGCAACCCCCTTGCCTCAGCAACCCCCTTGCCTCAGCAACCCCCTTGCCTCAGCAACCCCCTTGCCTCAGCAACCCCCTTCGCCCGACTGCCCCTTCCCTGTCTCTTGCTTCCGTCTGCTCCACGTTCCTCCTTCCCCTCTCTCCCTTCCATCCCCTGCGTTTTCTCCCCACCCACTCCCCCTTCTTCCTTCGCAGATCCAGGAGAAGGTGTGCGCTGACGTCATCAGCATCCGCACGGAGCAGTGCTTCAACGTGGAGCTGACGTCACCACTGGATGCAGCACACGAGGCGGCTCTGGTGTGGGTGCTATCCGAGACATACGAGCCTGAGAAGCTCACCCGGGAGTCTGTTTTCAGTGCTGGCGCTGCAGCGGAGGGGGGAGAGGAGGCAGAGGAGGAGGGGGAGGAGGTGGTGGTGGAGGTGGGGCCTCGTTTGTCGTTTACCACGGCCTGGTCGACCAACGCTGTCTCCATCTGTCGCTCCTGCACCCTGGAGCAGGTAGGGAGGGAGAAGGAGACGTGGGGCCTCGAGCAGGTGAGGGGGCGGAAGAGAGAGTGGTGGATTCTGGAGCAGGGGATAAAGCGAGTAGTGGGGTCTTGAGGGGTCTCGCCACTTCCCCTCTCCCCACTTGCCCCCTGTCCAGCAATTGCTCCCCGTCGTGCCCACCTGCCCCCCGTTCTCCCCAACCCCCTGCCTCCCCTCCCTGCTCAGGTGACTCGCATCGAGCGCTCTCGCCGCTATGCCCTGCAGCTGGCGCCAGGTGTTGAGGCGGATGCTGCCTTTACAGAGGAGCAGAGGGCAGCGTTCACAGCGTTGGTGCATGATCGCATGACGGAGTGTGTGTATGAGTCGCGGCTTGAGACGTTTGTCACGGATGCTGCTCCCGCGCCTGTCGTCCGCATCCCTGTTATGAAGGTGAGCCACGCGTTTATCCCCGTTATAATGTGATCCGCACTAATGGCGTCAGTGCATGACCGCATGACGGAGTGTGTGTATGAGTCACGGCTTGAGACGTTCGTCACGGACGCTGCTCCCGCGCCTGTTGTGCGCATCCCTGTCATGAAGGTGAGCTGCTTCACGCTTGTTGTTATTCCCGTTTATATCCCCCCATTATAAGTCCCATGTGTCCCAAACACCCGTATCTTGCTGACACACCCTTTCTGCCCCCACACCACCTTCCCTTTTTTCTTGAACACCATCCACCCATCAGAGATGAGCCTTCTCCCAAGCTTCCCGCACTCACTCCCCGTCCTCCCTTCTCCCTTCCCTCTTTCCCTCTACCCTCTCCGCTTCCCCACTGCAATGCATGCACAATCGCATTCTGTGAGCAGGAGGGGCGCAAGGCATTGGAGCAGGTCAACAAGGAGATGGGGCTGGCGTTCGATGAGTGGGACCTGGACGTGAGTTGGTGGTGGGGGGAGGAGGGAGGGGAGGGGTAGCTGTACAGAGAGAGGGGGAGGATAGAAAGGTGTTAACAAGGAGATGGGGCTGGCGTTCGATGAGTGGGACCTGGACGTGAGTCGTTGGGGAGGGATGGGGGTGGGTGAAGAGGGGTGGGGGGATAGAAGGGTGTCAACAAGGAGATGGGGCTGGCGTTCGATGAGTGGGACCTGGACGTGAGTCGGTGGTGGGTTGGTTGTTAGGAGGTGAAGGGAGCGAAGGGGAGGGGTTATTTGTGTGGGGAAAGAGGATAAACGATGTCAAAAGGGAGATGGGGCTGGCGTTCGATGAGTGGGACCTGGACGTGAGTTGTTGGGGATGGAGGGAGGACGGGGCGGGAGGGGTGGGTTAGCTGTACAGAGGGAGGGGGGAATAGAAGGGTGTCAACCAGTACATGGGGCTGGCCTTCGATGAGTGGGACCTGGACGTGAGATGTTGGGGATGGAGAAGAGGGGGGGTGGAGAGGAGGGGGGTTGGAGGAAGGCAGAAGCGAGAGCTGGAGAGATGATAGAAGGGTGGCAACCGGGAGGTCGAGTTGGCATTTGATGAGTGGGACGTGGACGTTATGGTGTAGGAAAATAGGGAAATGGAGGAGTAAATTGCTCTATGGAAATGGAAAAGAGGAGGAGGTTTTTGACAAGGAGGCTGGCATTTTATAAGGCCGGCATTTGATGAGTGGTATATGCAAGACAATATCCGAGTCGACTCAGAAATCATTATACATGAAATATCTTGGAGAAATTTCCTCTGTCTCCTCCCACTCTGCGTCCCCAACTCCCCCTGGCTCCCCACCAGTACTACACGCGCCTGTTCCGGGAGGACATTGGCCGGGAACCCACCAACGTGGAGCTTAAGCGTGTCGTTCAACTTTGGACTCAAGTGTGTACCCCGTTCCCGCCTCACCCCATCCACCCCTCCCCCTCTTCCCTCCCACCAGTACTACACGCGTCTGTTCCGCGAGGACATTGGGCGCGACCCCACCAACGTGGAGCTGTTTGACATCGCACTCAAGGCTTGAATGGGCTCTAGGGATCTAACTTCTTTCTCCCTCTCTCCTCCCCATCACCCCTCCCGCCTCCCCGCCCACCCACGCCAACTTCCAGTACTACACGCGTCTGTTCCGCGAGGACATCGGGAGGGACCCGACGAACGTGGAGCTGTTTGACATTGCACAGTCCAACTCCGAACACAGCCGCCACTGGTTCTTCAAGGTGCAGTGTATCCCCATTATAGGGAGTGCAGAGCGGAGTATCCTCGTTATAGGCAGTCTCCCCACCCTCTGTAGGACCCCACCAACGTGGAGCTGTTTGACATCGCGCAGTCCCAACTCCGAGCACAGCCGCCACTGGTTCTTCAAGGTACAGTGTGTCCTCGTTATAGGCAGTCTCCCCACCCACTGTAGGACCCACCAACGTGGAGCTGTTTGATATCGCACAGTCCAACTCCGAGCACAGCCGCCACTGGTTCTTCAAGGTGCAGTTCATCCCCGTTATAGGCAGGGCAGAGGTCGTTATAGGCAGTCTCCACATTGTAGGACCCCACCAACGTGGAACGCTCTGACATTGCGCAGCCACAAATGTTCACACGAACTGGTGAACGGCCTCAACAGAGGGCCGTCAACACACGCAGTGGGTTCTGTGAATGCATCGCCAGGTAAAAGCCTTACCCTCACACTTCCCTGGCAACCCCCCCCACACCTCTCACCTCCATTCCCCCACAACCCCTCCAGGGCCATTTAGCAGTGGATGGGCAGAAGGTGCAGCGCATGCGGATAGCCCTGCCGCATGTATTGCACATTCCCTCATCTCACCCCTCCCGCCTTCTTTGCTCCCCATTCCCTCATCTTACCCCTCCCGCCTTTGCTCCCCATTCCCTCATCTCACCCCTCCTGCCTTTGCTCCCCATTCCCTCATTCTCCCGCACTCCTTGCCTCGCCAGGGCGATTTGACAGTGGACGGGCAGAAGGTGGAGTACACGTTGATGGATCTGCTCTCTCTTATATCTTGCACACTCCCCGCAATTCAACCTCCCCGCATCTCAACCTCCCCGCAACTCAACCTCCCCGCAACTCAACCTCCCCGCAACTCAACCTCCCCGCAACTCAACCTCCCCGCAATCCTCCCTATTCTCGCACGCGTCTCCTCAGGGTGACTTGACAGTGGACGGGCAGAAGGTGCAGCACACGCTGATGGATCTGGTGAAGGACACGCTCACAGCATCTCACCATCCCCCCCCTCCTGTCATTGCTCCCCATTCCCTCATTCTCTCGAACACCTGCCATTGCCATTGCCAGGGTGACTTGACGGTGGACGGGCAGAAGGTAGAGCACACGCTGATGGATCTGGTGAAGGACACGCTCACAGCCAACCCCAACAACTCCGTCATTGGCTTCAAAGACAACTCCAGGTGAGCGGTAATGATGGGTGAGGAGTGGTTGTGGGATGGCATGGGATGGGAATGAGTGCTTCTAGTGACAGAAGGTGCAGCACACGCTGATGGATCTGGTTAAGGACACACTCACAGCCAACCCCAACAACTCCGTCATTGGCTTCAAAGACAACTCCAGGTGAGCGGTAGGAGTGAGCGTGCTTTTGATGAGTGCAGGGAAATCAAATCATCACTCGAGGGCGGTCTCAGTTGAGTCACTGACTGGTTCACATGCCAGAGAAAGTGCTTCGCTACATGTAGCCATCACACCCTGTCTTTGCCTCTTCCTTCCCCTCTTCCCACCACCCTCCCTCCGTCCCCTTGTCCCCACCAACCCACCCACTCGCTTTGCCAGTGCCATCCGTGGTCGTGTGGTGTCCGCCATTCTGCCCGAAAATCCCGGGCAGCCATCAAAGCTGGCGCCTGAGGAGCGGGATTACGATATTCTCTTCACTGCTGAGACGCACAACTTCCCCTGCGCCGTGAGTCAGCGTCTTATCTTCCCTAGGACCCGGGTCAGGAATTGGTAGGGATGAGCAGAGGGCGAACACAAGCGTGTTCGTGTTCGCCCCTTCACAAACACGGCCTTTTGCCGAACTGAACACTGTTCGGTTCGCCGAACGACTTCCCCAAAAAAGGGTGTTCGACTTTCGCCTGTGAAGGCGTGTTCGGGCGAACCTCGAACACGTTCGTGTTCAACACGGGGCGTTCTGCAGCAGCGCCACGAACACGAACGTGTTCGGGCGAACCTCGAACACGTTCGGGCGAACAATTTAAGCTAAAAAACAAAACCCGTTCGAGGCGAACCGAACAGGTGTCCGTTTCTTTGCTCATCCCTAGGAATAGGTGTCGGACTGGCTCTCCTATTTGTTATTATACCCAGATTTCTGGTTCCATTTTATTTCCCTCTACCTCCATTTATGTATACTTCCCCGGCCCGGCGATGTCCCTTTTTCTAACGTTCCCCACCGCAGGTGGCGCCATTCCCTGGGGCCGAGACGGGCGCGGGGGGGCGGATCCGTGACACGCACGCGACAGGTGTCGGCTCGCTAGTGGTCGCTGCTACTGCTGGTTATTGCGTGGGCAACTTGCAGGTCAGTGCAAGCTGGGGAGGGGGAGGGGATGTTGGGGTGATGGATTTATGCAGCACTGTCATGCACTGTGGTTGCTGACACTGTGATTTACTGTGGGGTCGACTTGCTAACCTCTCCTCTCTATTTTTCTTGCCGACCTTCGCTGGTTCCTCCCCCTCGTTATAATCACATAACGTCAGATGGAGGGGCATGCAGCGCCCTGGGAAGACACCTCGTTTGTGTACCCTCCCAACCTTGCTCCACCGCTCCAGGTCAGCCCTGCACCTGATAGCACCTACCTCTCTTTGCTTGGCACATTGATTTGCAGCACTTTGTCAATCACATAAAGTTGGATGACTTGTCGTTTCGTTCAATCAGGAAGCACGTTATGTGTCCCCCCCCCCACTCTTCAAACCACTTTTTCAAATTCTTTTGGACGCAAGCCACGGTGCGTCGGACTACGGCAACAAGTTCGGAGAGCCGCTTATCCATCCAGGGCTACACACGCACGTTTGGGATGCACCCACCCACCCTCGGATCCCCGTCTGCCCCCTCAACACCTGACCCCCGCCCTCCCCTTCCCCCGCTCTATGCCAGATCCTGCTCAATGCCAGCGACGGTGCGTCAGACTATGGCAACAAGTTCGGGGAGCCGCTCATCCAGGGCTACACGCGCACGTCTGGCACGCACCCTCCCACCCCCTTGCCATTCCTCAACCTCCACCCTCCCATTTCTCCACCATACTCTTCCCTCCTTCCCCAACGTTCCGCCCCAGATTCTTCTTGATGCCAGCGATGGTGCATCAGACTATGGCAACAAGTTTGGGGAGCCGCTGATTCAGGGATACCTGTCCCACTTGCTGCCCCCTCACTCACCACCTGACCGCCGCCCTCCCCTTCCACCACTCTCCTTCAGATTCTTCTTGATGCCAGTGACGGCGCGTCGGACTATGGCAACAAGTTCGGGGAGCCGCTGATCCAGGGCTACACACGCACGTTCGGGATGCGGCTGGCGAGTGGGGAGAGGCGGGAGTGGCTGAAGCCCATCATGTTCAGCGGGGGTATCGGGCAGATCGACCACCGGCACCTGGTGAAGGAGGAGCCGGACGTGGGCATGCTCGTGGTCAAGGTGAGTCAATGAGAGTCAACGCGAGTCAACACGAGTCAAGGTCAGTCAACACGAGTCAAGGTCAGTCAACGCGAGTCAAGGTCAGTCAAGGCAAACTAGCGGTTGTCAACTTGATTCATCACATGTGAAGGCGATCGGGAGAAGCGCTTGACCTGGTTTTGTCATGTCAGGTCTGAGGGATGCAGAAAAACCTCCCCAACGTGACCCCTTTTCATATGATGCTCTGTGTCCCCCCATTCCTCCCCCCCTCCCCTCCCCTGCCCCCTGTGCAGATCGGAGGCCCGGCATACCGCATTGGCATGGGCGGAGGTGCGGCCAGCAGCATGGTGTGAGCATGGGCATCAGGTGCTGTATTGTGCTGTGCAAACCCCCCCTCCTTACCCTCACTCCTTCCCCTCACTCCTTCCCTGCGTGCAGATCGGAGGGCCGGCATACCGCATTGGCATGGGCGGAGGTGCGGCCAGCAGCATGGTGTCTGGCACGCGGGACGCAGAGATGGATTTCAATGCGGTGCAGAGGGGTGACGCGGAGATGGCCCAGAAGCTGAATCGTGTGGTGCGCACGTGTGTGGAGCTGGGCGACAAGAACCCCATTCTGAGCATCCACGACCAGGTGAGTAATGGTAGAGCCAAGCCAACTGAGAGATGTGTCATTTCACACGGTAAGGGGATGGGTGGCGTGGTGCGCACGTGTGTGGAGCTGGGCGACAAGAACCCCATCCTCAGCATCCGCGACCAGGTGAGGCATTCCCAGCCATGTTTACTGGGGGATTCTACATGTCACGCGATAGAGGCTGAATTGCGTGGTGCGCATGTGTGTGGAGCTGGGCGATAGGAACCCCATCCTCAGCATCCACGACCAGGTGAGCAATCCTATGCCATGCCATTTTCTAATGACGGAGACTTTGATGCCGCCCCTGCCCGCCCTGCTCTTTAAGCTGTCCCTCACCCTCTCTCCACCATAGCACTCCTACCTTACTCTCTCCCTACCTGCTGTGTTACTTGCTTCTCTTTCCACTCTCACAGGGCGCGGGAGGCAACTGCAACGTGGTGAAGGAGATCATCTACCCGCAGGGGGCGGAGATTGACGTGCGGTCGATCGTGGTGGGCGATGAAACCATGTCTGTGCTTGAGATCTGGGGTGCGGAGTACCAGGAGCAGGTGAGGTGTAAGGGAATGGGTGGGGAGGATTCACGCTCGGTCGATAGTGGTGGTGGGCGATAAGACCTGGGCAATGAAACCATGTCGGTGCTTGAGATCTGGGGCGCCGAGTACCAGGAGCAGGTGAGCTGTGGGGGAGGGTGTTTGGGGAGTTGGTGTGGCGGAATGAATGGGAGGGATGGGTGGGGAGGTTTGACGTGCGGTCGATCGTGGTGGGCGATGAAACCATGTCCGTGCTTGAGATCTGGGGCGCTGAGTACCAGGAGCAGGTGAGCTGTGGGGCAATGGATGTGGGGGGGAAGAGTGGTGGGGATGTGCAGTCCATACCATAGTGGTTGTGGGCGATGAGACCACGTCCGTGCTTGAGATCTGGGGCGCCGAGTACCAGGAGCAGGTGAGCTGTGGGGGCGGGAGGGAGTCAGATGGGTGGGTGGGGAGGATTGACGTCTGCTCTCCTCATCCTGGTATTTAGGAACACAACATCCTACTAGAATACCATCTCTCCCTTCTCTTTCCTCTCTCCTTCCTACTCCCTCTTTTCTCCTTCTCCCGTCTCCTCATGAGAAGCCTTCTTCCCCTTCCAATTCTTCCCTTCCCCCACTACCTCCCCCTTTCCCCTTCCTGTGCGTGCATCAGGACGCCCTCCTGGCGCGCCCACAGAGTGCATCAGGACGCCCTCCTGGCCCGCCCACAGAGTGCATCAGGACGCCCTCCTGGCACTCAGGAAGCCTTCTTCCCCTTCCAATTCTTTCCCTACCCTTCCCCTTCCTGTGCGTGCATCAGGACGCCCTCCTGGCCCGGCCTGAAAGCGAGGCACTGCTGCGGTCAATCTGCAAGCGAGAGAGGCTCTCCATGGCTGTCATCGGAACCATCAGGTGAGCGTTCTGTCTTTTGTACTCCTTATAGGCTGAATGCTGTGTGCTTGATGTATTAACTGGAGGCAACATCGTCTCCTGGCAGCAGCAGCACCAGGCTGTTTGTTAAGCCTGTGACATCCTCCCGCTCTGTTCCCCCGGCCAATACCCCCTCTTTCCCCCCAATTCTTCTTCACATTCGGTGTCTTCCCCCTCTCCCCCCCAGTGGTTCCGGCAAGGTGGTTCTATTCGACTCCAGGGAGCAGCAGGAGGCGGCAGCGGCAGGCCACGCCCCTCCCCTCCCAGCAGTGGACCTGGATCTCGACAAGGTGCTGGGCGACATGCCCAGCAAGCGATTTGACTTCGTACGGGGCACGGATGAAAGGGAGCCTCTGGAGCTGCCTCCAGCGCTGACCGTGGCAGAGGCGCTCAAGAGGGTGCTCAGGCTGCCTTCCGTTGCATCCAAGCGCTTCCTCACCACCAAGGTACGGCCACGGGTGGCGTCTGGTAGGGGTAGGAGGAAAGGCAGGTATGGGTATGGAGAGTGTTGAGAGTAAGGAGAGGGAGCCCCTGGAGCTGCCCCCTGCTCTGACCGTGGCAGAGGCGCTCAAGCGTGTGCTGCGGCTGCCTTCCGTTGCTTCCAAGCGCTTCCTCACCACCAAGGTATGGGAATGGGATGGGATGGGATGGGACGGGATGCAGTGGGCATGGGTAGCGAGAGGGGCCTCTTGAGAATTTGCTTTCATGACTCTCGCAGGACACCCAGCTATTTCTGAGGCGCCTCAAAACTCGCAGGACACCCAGCTATTTTTCACCACAAACATATGGGCGGCCTTCCAAGCGCTGGATTGCCTGTAGGTGGCATGGTTGCACTGAGATGCTTCCTGACTGGCCAGGTATGGCCAAGGGTAGGTGTGGAATGGTCAATTAGGGTAAGGAGTGCCACGGCCACCAATAAACACCCATGCGCACTCTTTTTTTTGTTTTTTTCCTTCGCCTCCGCACTCTTACTTCCCTCTTTCACCATTGCCCTCTCTCCTCCCCCTTCCTCCGTGCTGGGTCAACTCAACACTGTGTCATGGGCCTCGCGGTGGAGGTGCAGCAGCAGCAGCATTCACCTGACGACACCCTTCTCTATCTTCCCAACCCCCCTCCCCCCTCCCCCCTCCCCCTCCCCAATCATCCAGGTGGATCGCTGTGTCACGGGCCTCGTGGCGCAGCAGCAGACCGTGGGCCCGCTGCAGATCACCCTTGCTGACGTGGCAGTCATTGCTCAGGTACGGCCCCCTTGCTGACATTGTATCAGTTGGGAGCAGTCATCTGTGGCCTCCTTTTTGCTTCCAGCTTAACTTTTCATCCATCCGTGCCATGCTATGCTGCATGCACTCAAGAATGGTTCAAATTGCTGCATGAACCCAACAAGTCCCAATTGTCCCCCCTCGCCCCTCCCCTTTCCCCCCTCGTCCCCTCGTCCCCTCGTTCCCCCGTACCCAACCCTTCCCCGCTCGCTCCCCCTTGGCCGCATGCTTTCATGGCATAATGATTCTTCCATTGCCTATCTGCTGTGCTCTTTCTTTTGGATGGTGCATGGGCATGGGCGGGATGGTGCATGTTGCATTGTGTGTGGGGCGTGTGGGGCTTGGGGCTTTGGGGATGGGGGATGGGCTATGGGGCATGGGGATGGGGGATGGGGCATGCGGATGGGGGATGGGCATGGCACTCGCGCATGGGTTGGCTGATGACTGCGCAGACCCACACAGGCATCACAGGAGCAGCATGCGCCATCGGGGAGCAGCCAATCAAGGTATGCCACGTGGACTCCAACCCAATTCCTACATGCCCTTTTTACAGCACACTCTTGCCTCCCTGCTCCCCCCTCCCCTCCTAACCCTAACCCTAAAACCTAAACTCTCCCTGCTCCCCCCTCCTCCCCTCCTCTGCTGCTCCCCATCAGGGCCTCATCAATCCAGCAGCCATGGCGCGCATGGCAATAGGGGAGGCTCTCACCAACCTTGTGTGGGCCAAGGTGGGTCCATGTTGTGCGTTGGGCTGACGCTGCGTGGGCTTGAGCATGTGGGCTTGAGCATGTGGGCTTGAGCATGTGGGCTTGAGCATGTGGGCTAGCAGCTGGTTTGATGCATGATGTGCCTGCATGGCAGCTAGCCCCATGTGCTCGCATGGCAGCTAGCCCCATGTGCTCGCATGGCAGCTAGCCCCATGTGCTCGCATGGTTGCCATGTTCGCCATGTGGGGCTACCCCATGTGGGGCTACCCCATGTGGGGCTAGCCCATGGCAACCACGCGAGCACAGCAGCCATGGCGCAGATGGCGGTGGGGAGGGCCCTCAGTGGGGAGGTCCCTCAGTGGGGAGGTCCCTCAGTGGGGAGGTCCCTCAGTGGGGAGGGCCCTCAGTGGGGAGGTCCCTCAGCAACCTCGTGTGGGCAAAGGTGGGCTGGTGTGGCATGGGCTGTTGCAATAGCCAGCTGAAAACAGCTGGTAGTCGCATCCAGATGTATGCTATGCGGTGAAGATGGGTGCTGCTGGAGCAACCGTGACTCGCATTGCATCACTGTAGATATCGTTTCAAGCAGTGGAAACAACTATTGTAGATCCCAGGAACATGTCTCCTCCCTGCTTGAAGCTACCGTCGTGCATTCCGTTCCCTCTTGTTTGTTTTGCAGGTCACAGCGCTGGAGGACGTGAAGGCGAGCGGCAACTGGATGTATGCAGCCAAGATGGGCGGCGAGGGGGCAGCCATGTACGACGCTGCAGTGGCGCTCAAAGAGGCGATGCTGGAACTGGGAATTGCGGTTGACGGGGGCAAAGACAGCCTGTCTATGGCAGCTACGGTGAGTGGTTCTGACTGTCACGAGAGTGACTTACTGGTGCGGGTGCAGCACCAACAGCGGCGAGGGGGCAGCCATGTTCGACGCTGCAGGGGCACTCAAGGAGGCGATGCTGGAACTGGGAATTGCGGTTGACGGTGGCAAGGACAGTTTGTCTATGGCTGCTACGGTGAGTTGGTGTGCTGGTCGCGAGGGCGAGTCATGGGTGTGAGTCAGTGCAGCATCACCAGCCATGTCGATGCAGCATCACCAGCCATGTCGATGCAGCATCACCAGCCATGTCGATGCAGCATCACCAGCCATGTCGATGCAGCATCACCAGCCATGTCGATGCAGCATCACCAGCCATGTCGATGCAGCATCACCAGCCATGTCGATGCAGCATCACCAGCCATGTCGATGCAGCATCACCAGCCATGTCGATGCAGCATCACCAGCCATGTCGATGCAGCATCACCAGCCATGTCGATGCAGCATCACCAGCCATGTCGATGCAGCATCACCAGCCATGTCGATGCAGCATCACCAGCCATGTCGATGCAGCAGCGGTGCTCAAGGAGGCGATGCTGGCGCTGGGGATTGCTTTGGACGGGGGCAAGGATAGTTTGTCCATGGCTGCTACGGTGAGTGGGTGTGGCTGTAACGAACTCATTGGAGTGGGTGCAACACCAACACCAGCAGCCATGTACGATGCTACAGTGGCGCTCAAGGAGGCGATGCTGGCACTGGGGATTGCCGTGGATGGGGCCAAAGATAGTTTGTCCATGGCTGCTACGGTGAGTGGATGGTGAATGTGCTTGTAACCGGCATGAATCCCGGGTGTGATTGTATGATGCAGCTGTGGTGGCACTTACGAAGAGATGTGGTGCTGGGAATGCATTCCTGACCATTCCTCTCCCGTCTCTCCTCTCCGTGTCCGTCCTTCCTCCCCCTTGTGTGTGTGTGTGCAGGCGGGGGGAGAGACAGTGATGGCGCCTGGCAACCTGGTGCTGAGCGCGTATGTCACGTGCCCAGATATCACCCTCACTGTCACGCCCGACCTCAAGGTGAGGGAGGGGGCATTCAATCATTTTCAGGTCTTGCCTGGCCGGGTATTACAATATTTCCTGCCCTGATATCACACTCAGTATTACTCCCGACTTGTCAACCAAGAAGAGATAAAGTTTTCCTGCTGCACAACCATCTGATGTCTGATGCCTCTAGTTGACTTTTGAGTTGACTCAAAAGTCAACTGCTGCACAACCATCTGATGTCTATGCCTCTACCACCCCCACTTCTTCTCTTCCCACGCCCCCCTCACAGCTCCCAGGCGAGTTCTTGTTGATCCATGTGGACGTGAGCGGAGGAGGTAGCAGGCGGGTGGACGGGATGTTGGGTTCCTGTGCATCTAATGTCTCTACTCCCTTCCCTTGCTTTCTTCCTTTGCCCATTCCGCCACCCGTCTCCCAGCTCTCGTGCAAGGGTGTGTTGATCCACGTGGACCTGAGCAGAGGCAACAGGCGAGTGGGCGGGGTGCGGGGCGCATGTCGCAATGCCTGTAGATCTGATTTCGTCGCTGCCCTCCTTCGCTCTCTTACCCCTTTCCCCCTCGCAGCTCCCAGGCGAGGGTGTGTTGATCCATGTGGACCTGAGCGGAGGCAGCAGGCGCGTGGGTGGGATGAGTGATGGATGGAAGTGGTGGGTTTTGCTGATGCCTGTGTGTGCTGCCTCTCCCCCCGTCTTACCCCTTTCCCCCTCACAGCTCCCAGGCGAAGGTGTGTTGATCCATGTGGACCTGAGCGGAGGCAGCAGGCGCGTGGGTGGGTCGGCCCTCGCCCACGTGTACGACCAGATAGGCGATGAGTCACCGGATGCTGATGTGGCGCTGCTCAAACGTGGCTTCAATGCCGTGCAGGTATGGGTCAGTGTTGAAGATCAGCCCTGGGGTTGAAATCTGGGTTTGCTGCATTTGGGTTGAAGGTTTGGGGTTTAAAACCGGAGGGCCAAGAAAGCCCAAATTGGATCAACCTTCCTAACCTCGGTTGAGTGTGGCCCTCGCACCCAAGATCTTGCCCAATCGTATTGCTCGCCCCAACCAAGCTTCCTAACGTTGAACTTCTTGGCCCGCGGGTTTTAAGCTTCAGGGTGGCTCCCACCCCTGCATGCTGCAGGGTGTTTTTGAGAATTCTCAAAAACACCCTGCAGCACCCCTGCATGCAACTCTAACTGCGCTCCTTCCTCTCCCTCCTTCTGTAACCACACCAGGATCTGATTGGTCGGCGTCTGGTCTCCTCAGGGCACGACGTCAGCGACGGCGGCATCATCACAGCCATTCTCGAGATGGCCTTCGCTGGCAACACGGGGGTCACTGTCGACCTGCCCTCGCCTGCTGCTGACACACAGGAAGGGGAAGAGGAGGAGGAGGTGGATGTGTTTGGGGCGCTCTTTGCGGAGGAGCTGGGGCTCGTCATCGAGGTGGCGCCGGCCAATCAGGACGAAGTACTGCGCACGCTCTCCGCCGCCCAGGTTCCCGCCACCGTCATTGGCCAAGTCACATCCCCCTCCTCCTCCGCTCCTGCCTCTCCACCGCTCCTCTCGGTGGCGGTTGCGGGGGTGCCGGTGCTAGAGGGGGAGTCGATGCCAGCCTGGCGGGACGTGTGGGAGGAGTCGTCCTTTCTGCTGGAGCAGATGCAGCGAACCGAGACGTGTGCTGTGGCTGAGATGGAGGGGCTGAAGCACCGCAAGGAGCCCTCGTGGAAACTTCCTTTCACCCCGAGCAGGACTGCACATGAGGTGGGTTGGTGGGTTAGGGTGGATTAGGGCTGTTGGGATGAACGGTGGAAAGGAGATTGAAGTGTGAAGCGGACTGAACTGTAAAGCAGAAGACTGAGATGACATGGTATGAAACGGTGTGCATTTACCCTGTCTCTCTCCCCCCATTCCCCCCCTCCTACCCCACTCCCCTCAATCCCCCCACTCACTGCAATCTCGAAGCCCCGAGTGGCTGTGTCGAGGGAGGAGGGCAGCAGCAGCGACAGTGAGATGGCGGCAGCAATGTTACGAGGTGCATACATCGAAGCTTTCTGCGCACTTCCCCACCCTCTTCCCCCTTCTCCTTTGCTGCAGCTCCTGACCGCAACCACAAAGCCGCGAGTGGCCGTCCTACGCGAGGAGGGCAGCAATGGCGACCGGGAGATGGTGGCAGCGGTGTGGGCAGCGGGCATGGAGCCCACTTTCCCACCCTCGCCCCACCTCCTTTTCCCCTCTTTGCTCCCCTGCAGCTCATGACTGCAACCACAAAGCCCCGAGTGGCTGTCCTGAGGGAGGAGGGCAGCAATGGCGACCGGGAGATGGCGGCAGCGGTGTGGGCAGCGGGCATGGAGCCTTGGGATGTGACTGACTCTTCTCGCCTCTCCTTCGCTCCCCCTTTCCCCATCGCTCCCCCTTTCCCCATCGCTCCCCCTTTTCCCCTGCAGCTCATGACCGCCACCACAAAGCCCCGAGTGGCTGTCCTGAGGGAGGAGGGCAGCAATGGCGACCGGGAGATGGCAGCAGCGGTGTGGGCGGCGGGCATGGAGCCACCTCTTTTTCCCCTCTTTGCTCCCCTGCAGCTCATGACCGCCACCACGAAGCCCAAAGTGGCTGTCCTGAGGGAGGAGGGCAGCAATGGCGACCGGGAGATGGCAGCAGCGGTGTGGGCGGCGGGCATGGAGCCTTGGGATGTGACTGTATCGGATCTGCTGCAAGGGCGGGCCCGGCTGGACGAGTTCAGGGGAATCATCTTTGTGGGCGGTTTCAGCTACGCGGACGTGCTGGACTCGGCCAAGGGGTGGGCGGCGGCGATCCGGTTCAACGCGGGGCTTAAAGCCCAGTTCGACGCGTTCTACCAGCGGGAAGACACGTGGAGCCTGGGCGTGTGCAATGGGTGCCAGCTCATGGCGCTGCTGGGATGGGTGAGTGAGAGGAGGGGATGTGTGAAGGGAGGAGGAGAAGAGTCCGGGGGACTGAGGAGGGGAACGGAGGGGGCATGAGGGGTTTGGTGAGCCTGGGCGTGTGCAATGGGTGCCAGCTCATGGCGCTGCTGGGATGGGTGAGTTATGGGTGTGTGTGTGAGTTAGGTGCAGTGGAAGTCCTTTGGGGAAGAAGCCTGGGCGTGTGAAATGGAAGCAGATGAGAGGGCTGGTCAGCCTGGGCGTGTGCAACGGCTGCCAGCTCATGGTGCTATTGGGATGGGTGAGTGCGGCTGGTGTTGAAGCTGGGGAGGGGGAGGAGAGATGAGTTTCGGGCAATGGGGGACGGGGAGGTCGTGGACAGGGGTGCGTATGAAAGGCTTGGTCAGCCTGGGCGTGAGCAACGGGTGTCAGCTCATGGCTCTGCTGGGATGGGTGAGTTGGCTGATTTTTGGGAAGGATTTGAGCTAGAGCCTAGATGGTTTAGTGGCATGGGAGGTGGTGATGGCGTGAGGTGGCGTGGGTGGTGGTGATGGCATGAGTTGGCATGGGAGGTGGGTTCGTGGGTGAAGTGGTGACCGTTGCATGGCACTGCACAGTGGGTGACGCTTTGTCTTCTTCACAACTCAATTTCCTTCGGAAAGATCTCTCTACTCCTTGTCTCCCTTTTTCTCGTGTATTCATCCTTCCTCCCTAACCCTCTTGCTTCTCCTTCTCCCTCCCTTCCCCGCTTCGTGTGTCTTCACTCGCCCTCCCAGGTCCCCAGTCCGGACGTGGGCGGAGTGATGGGCGAAGGAGGGGATGCAGCACAGCCGCGCTTTGTGCACAACGCTGGTTTCTGATTTGCCTTCTTTTCTCCGCTGCCTGTCTCTTTTCTCACGCCCGTAGGTGCCTGGCCCAGACGTGGGCGGAGTGATGGGCGAGGGAGGAGACGCAGCGCAGCCGCGCTTTGTGCACAACGAGTCGGGGCGCTTTGAGTGCCGCTTCTCCACCGTTCAGATCGAGGAGTCTCCTGCTGTCATGCTCAGGTGAGGGGGGAAGGGGGGGGGAAGGGAGGACTGGTAGGCATGTTTTCTGTGACTGCCTTGGGTTGTGCACAAAGGGTCGGGGCGCTTTGAGTGCCGCTTCTCCACCGTTCAGATCGAGGAGTCGCCGGCTGTCATGCTCAGGTGAGGGGGGTCTGGTATGCGCACGCACCCAACATGCTGTCATGCTGAGTCGGGAGGGGGTAAGAGAACCTCGAAGGCGCACCTGACACATGTATAGCAGGTGTTCTTAGAGTGCCGCTTCTCCACCATACAGGTTGACTTTTGAGGCGCCTCAAAAGTCGCTTCTCCACCATACAGGTTGACTTTTGAGGCGCCTCAAAAGTCGCTTCTCCACCGTACAGGTTGAGGAGTCCCCTGCCGTCATGCTCAGGTGAGAGGGGGAATGGGAGGGCTGATAGAGCATGCTTTCTATGACTGCCTTGCTTTGTTCACAACGAGTGGGGGTGACTCCTCAGCTGTTGTCATGCTCAGTAAAGCCCTGGCTACTGTTCAACCTTTCTTCACTCCTGCCCGATCAATCTGCACCTCATTCAACTCTTCTGCAAACCCTTGCGCCTCCTATCCAAGTACCTCCCACCCTCTTGACACCTCCTCCGCTGTTCACACTCCCCACCCTGTTAACAACTGCCCTGCCCACTTCGTTTCCTCTCTCCATCTCCTCTCCCCCCTCCGTTACTGCTGCCGCTTCTCACCCTCTCCTCCCGTACTTCTCCCATCCCGTCAGGGGCATGGAGGGCACGAGGGTGGGCATCTGGGTGGCACACGGGGAGGGCCGAGCGCTCTTCCCCTCGGAATCCCTCTTCCAATCCGTCCTCTCCTCCAACCTTGCTCCCATCCGCTACTGCGACGACGACGGCGCCCCCACCGAGGCGTACCCGTTCAACCCCAACGGGTCCCCTGCGGGGATAGCCGCGCTGTGCTCTCCCAATGGAAGGCATCTGGCGATGATGCCGCATCCGGAGAGGTGTTATTTGATGTGGCAGCTGCCGTGGGCGCCCAAGGAGTGGCGGGAGGGCATGGATGCGAGTGGGCCTAGCCCGTGGCTGAAGCTGTTTCAGAACGCGCGGGAGTGGTGCGCGGAGCATCCTCAGTAGGATATGGGTTACCGTACCTGTTGAGTAGTTTGGAAATCACTGACATATGAACGATGCAATAACAGTGAGTCGTGGATGTGGGCGGACCTAGCCATGGCTAAATCAGGAGATGCGGGGAGGATTTTTAGGGTGCAGCTTTTTAGATGCGCGGGAGTGGTGTGTTGAGCACCCACAGTAGACGGGGATAGCCGCGATGTGCTCTCCTGACAGGGGCTATCTGGAGATGATGCCGCACCCCGAGAGGTGTTACCTGATGTTCCAGCTGCCGTGGGCGCCCAAGGAGTGGTCGGAGGGCATGGACGCCAGCGGGCCTAGCCAGTGGCAGAAGAACACGCGCGAGTGGTGTGCAGAGCACCCTCAGTAGGATATGGGTTCTTGTTGAGTAGTTTCGAAAATTACTGACACAAACATACAATGACGGAAAGGCGTGATTCTCTTAGAGCGTATTCCTATCCTCGTATCAAGAAAACCTCATATCAACCTCCCACTGAAAATTTCCCTAAACCCAAAACCTCTCGCTACTTCTACCAGGCAAAAAGTACAATCTTGATATGAGGTTTTCTTGATACGAGGATAGGAATACGCTCTTAGCCATGGCTAAATTGGCTAAATTAGGAGATGCGGGGAGGATTCTTAATACAGTCAATGTTTACTCAAAAGATACTGTAAGTGTTGGGAGCAGTGGCTATTTGTAAGAACTACCATTGCAGACTGTCTGCATTAGTTGGATGAATTGACAAATGATTGCAACAGGATTCAGGTGAATTGACGCCAGGCATCAAACTATCAATTGCCGGATGGTTGTGTCAAGAAAAAGTCCAAGAAAGTCCATTTAAACATTGAACCAGTTGTCAGCTTAACTGCCAGACACAAAAATCACCACCATTTATCTCACTAACACTTCCTTCCGGCATTTTCCCAAAGCTAGCAGGTCACACCTTACCTCATATATGCAAAACAGACTGGGGAGGGGAGGGACCTTTCAAGTGCCAGCCACTTGAGGCGCACATGAAATGGTGGGACAACTTTTCATGATAGATCTGCTGGAAGTAGGCAGGCCAATGCAGAAACTGCATGCGGTGTTCTTCCCATTGCCTCAACACCAGTTGAAGCAGCCACCGTCGTAGCCAGACAACAATGTCATGGCCAAACAGGAGGTTAGAACAATAGCAATTTTGAGAAATTGTGAGCATGTGTACCCTAACGTGCTACTTGATTTCGCTCACAAGCACTCAACCTCTTGTGCGTTCCTTTTCCTTTGGCAATAGCAAGTAAGCAAGTTTGAAGGACAGGGAAGCACAGACCTGGGGAATGGAGAGCAGGGAGGGGGGGTGCAGTGCAGTGCTGTGGAGAGCAGAGAGCAGAGACGAGACGAGTGCAGTGCAGTCACGAGCAGGGAGCCGTGACGAGCAGAAAGCAGACACGTGCAGTCACGAGCAGTGACAGCGGCAAGCAGTGGCGAGCAGAATGGGTGGCGAGCAGTGACGAGCGGAAAGAAGAGACGAGCAGAACGGCAGAGACAGCGCAGGGCAGGACGCAGATAGCAGATAGCAGGCCACCGAAGCAGCCGAAAATGAGAAGGCCGAATCCATTGCTTATAACGCAGTCCACAAGACGAAGCAGATAGAAGAAGCCGATAGAAGAAGCAGCTAGCAGAGAAGATAACGAAGCAGAAGAGCAGGCAGCCATGGCTCTTCCCCTAAAGGAACTCCAGAGCCTTCTGAAATCTATGTTAGAAAGCAGCTCCCGAAGCAGCTGCAGAAGCAGCAATCAGCCGTGTGACCATGTCATCCTTCAGACCCGCGCACAAGATTCCATTACGGAAGCACGTCCACTGGTGCTCCGAATGCCTAACTGCGGCTGCGGCTCCGGCGGCGGCGAGGAGAGGGGCTCCGCCTGAGGGACACGCAGAGGGACGTCATCACTTGGCGTCAGGCGAGCTAAGAGAGAGAAACAAATCAGATCCAGGTGGCAGGTACATATGGAGAGCACGAGGGGGAGTGGGAGGGTGAGGGAAGAGAGGTTTGCGCAGGAGGGTTGACGGCGAGAAACAGGAAGGATTTGGGGAAGAAAGGGAGAATAGGGAAGAGAAAAGAGAGGAAGACAGGAGGGAAGGCGGCAAAAGGAGAACGGGGGGGGCGTAATGGTGGCCGCAATAGAGGGTAAAACGGGGCGGATGAAGCACGCGAGCACTCACTCGTCACGACGCGGGGACCCGGGAGCCGGGCTGCGGACGCGCGGGGGAGATCGGCTTCCGCGGCGCCTGTCCGGGGAAGGGCTCCGGCGGCGGGCGGGGGAGGGGCTCCGGCGACGACCGGGGGACGGGCTCCGGCGGCGGGGAGAGGGGCTCCTGCGCCGAGGGGAATCATCCCTGATGAGGGGAGGCGGAAAATGAAACATAATCAATTGACATTGAAATGAGAACGGATCGCGAAAGAAAAGAAGATGGCTGGAAAGAAAGCGGGTGGCCAGGATGGTCCAGGGAGCACGCCTTAATTGTTTATTAAGAAATTCGGACCGGATAAACGGGACGAGAAGCAGGAAACGGGAAAAAAAAACAAAAAATCTGTAACACAAATCAAGCGTGAATCAAAGAGTCAACAAAAAATGCTAGACTGAATTGTTGAACTCACCTCTCGCGACCGTAATCCGGGCTTCGGCGATAGCGCGGAGGGCTGCGACCGCGCGCTCCACCTCCGCCTCCGCCTCCTCCGAGACGCATGCGACACTCGCGGGCGAAATGACCGGGTTCGCCGCACTCGTAGCAGCGCATGTCGTCACCTCCCCTTCGCACAGGAACTGGACCACCTCCTCCTCCGCCAGAGGCACGTGAAAGCTCAACACGCCAGCCTTGCTTGCCTGATGTCACACAAACATAAGAATAAAACTGATTTAAAAAATATAACTAAAACTGCTTGAATTTGCTTGCCTGATGTCACACAAACATGTCATACAAATAACTATGAAGTCTAACAGTATGAAATAGGAAAACACGGTGTAAATAAACCGTTAACAGGCTCTTTCTTACCGTTGAGAGCTCGAATAGCATCTTGAGCATCCCTGTGGTCGTCGAACTCAATAAACGCGAAGCCAGGTGGCTTTCTAGCGACCCACACACTGCACGGCAACGGCTTCACTGTCAGAAAGTGGTGAATGATTTCTCAAGAGATTAAGCGGTGAATTAACGGCAACAAATCGACGCGGTGAAACTTTGATTCAGTACCTTCTTAGAACGCCATAGCTTCGGAACTCGTCTTCAAGCTCTCGTTCCGTTGCACGGGGATCCAAATTACCAACGTACACCCGCGCCATGATTCCCGATCACACAAACACCACCTGCTGAAAACAACATCACTCCATCATTAGGCATCTTTTAAGCTAAATACTAGCGAACGGTGACAAAACAAGACAAGCATGCTAGATAAGTTAATAGAACTTACCAGACTTATTTGGCGACGATGGTTGTCCAGGTTCAAACGACTAAGATCAGGAATAGATTAATCGATCAGGACTAAACCTCCAATACTACCTCCTAGAAAAGCCGAACAGGAGAGGGAGTCCTGAAAATGAGCCAACAAACCCTCGCCTGCCGGACTTTGAACTGAGTTTCGCGTTATTGTCGCGCTCCGCTTTCATTTCACAAAGAGCGCAGCGAGATATTAACCTAAGGAAAAAGTTCAGCTGTACAATATGCAAAAAGGGCACTCAATGCAAAAGCTAGGAATGGATGGATACTTATGAGGTGCTGGCTATTAAATTCGCTAACCAAGGTACAGGCCAAAAAAACATGTATTAGTGGATAGTACATTTCAAGTTGAACCAGACAACCCTATGTACTTGGCCCTTATATATAGCATAGCCTTACGGCTGCACACGGGAAAACATGCAACTGAGCGGCAAAAAAAAACTTGTCTGTTCAGCTAAGCGCCTTTCCTACCGTATTCTTCAGAATCACAAACCATTTGCCGCTTGAGCGACAAAAAAACTTGTGATTCTTTATTCCACATCTAGCCCATCCATATCCTCATCTTCCCCCACAACCCTCGTCTCGACATAGGCACACTCTGGGGCCCCTGAATTTGGTCTGCACTCCACAAGCTGCCCTTTATTGTCACGCGCAGGGACGCTGTAGCAGGGGTGGGTGCACTGGCATTGGTAACCGAGCGGAGAAGGCACGAAGGGGATGCACACTGCGTGCTTCGGGCAGGGCGAGATGGATGGGCAGCGCTTGCGAAGCAACTGGGGACCTGAGAGGAGGATGAGGGGAGGCAGGTTTGGGGTCCGCAAAAAAATGGGCGAGAGAAGAGGGTTGGTCTAAGCACCAGCAAAACGATGGGATTGAAGGAAACGTGCTGTATGCTGCATGCTGGCAGCTGAATGCGGTGGGCAAATGGATGTGGATGGGATGGGTGACAGCAAACCAGGTAGATGGCCATAGTTGAGAAAGAAGAGTCCGGGAAGACAAAAAAAAAAGGGTGAGGGGGGGAGGGGGGAGGGGGGAGGGGGTTGGGGGTGGGGGGGATCATCTAGCTGATAGCAACCGTAGACTCACCGCATCGACCCACTTCCCCGTCGTGGCATGCACACATCCACGGCAGCACATCGCCATACTTGAGTGCCGGACTGAGGATCATTGGGCGGCACACTCCCTTCCCCTCACAATACTCCCCTTCGCTTATTCCCCCGCACAGCGCCTCCCCGCACTGCTGCTCCGGCCGCTGCTGCTCCACAAGAGACGCCAGGTCCGGCACAGCGGAGCCTAAGCGAGGCCCGGCCGAGCCTGGCTGGCTGGTTCGGGAGACGAAGCAGGAATAAAGGTCTTGTTTGGAGAAGCAGTTGAGGGAGAAGGAGGCGGGGGAGCAGAGGAGGGAGGTGCGGGGGAGGGAGCCCGAGAGGTAGTTGGAGGAGAGGGAGAGGGTGGAGAGGAGAGGCGGGAGGCGTGATGGAACTCGGCCCGTGAGGCGGTTGCTTGATAGCAGTCTGAGAGGGGATCACAGGAGAAAGGGACGGGCAAGCGGAGGAAGGATCGGGGAAAGGGAGAATGGATGGGGAAGCGGATTGAGAAAGGTGTCTTTCTGAGAAAGCACAGGAGGCACTTGAGAGGCGAGCCGGTGTGAGAATACTCAATGCATATTCCAGACAAAAATACTCAATGCACATTCCAGACAAAAATACTCAATGCATATTCCAGACAAAAATACTCACAGTGCTGTGAGGCGTGGAAAGGCGGCGGTGATGGACGGCTGGATGCTGCCAAAGAGGAAATTGGACGAGAGGTCCCTGTAGAGATGAGATGACACAGGGGGGGTGCAGTCGGAACAGGGAGATGCTTCTTGGAAGGTCGAGAAGAGGAGAGGAAAGTGAGGAGGAAGAGAAAATTGGAAGAGAGGTCCCTGCAGAGGAGAGACACGGTGGATGCAGGTGCAGGTGGAGCAGGGAGATGCTTCTTGAAACAGTGAGAAAGAGAATACTCAAAGACAGGTGTATGCCGACTCTGAAAAAGAGTGGGAGGCAGGTGAGGAAGGGAGCTTGAGAAGCACGGAGGGCGGTGAGAGGAGTGGCTTGAGGATGGAAGAAGAGGGTGACGAGAGTGAAGTTGGAATAACGAAGGGCGGAAGCAAGACGTACAAGTGCTGTAAGTTGGTTAGTCCTTCGAGAGGCTTGATGAAGACGTCGAGTCGCTCTATAATGAGGTTTCGCTGCAGGTCACTGCAGGGAGGAATCAACGCAAGGCGCAAAGGGGAAGCATGAGAGAGCAGGCGAGACGACTTTCGAGCTCCACAGAGAAACATGCAGGAGCAAGCAACCGTTACAAACCAGCAAGATAACCGAGACAACCAAGGAAATCAAGAAACCCAAGAAAATCAAGACGACGCTCAGTTCCGGGTATGAGCTCGAATGCTCCAACCATGAAATTGAAAAACAGAAAAGCACGAGAGGTGGAAAATTCAAAAGCCAATCACCGACCGCCACGTCGGATGTGCACTTGCTTTAGGCATCTCCCGAGTGACGTCAGCACAGCATGCTCCAAGTCTTACATGTTGGTGAGCGAGGTGAGCCTGGAGACGTCAAGAGGCAGATGCCCCATGAGGCCCTGCTGGGGGAACTCCATGCGGACGGGGTTCCCCCGCGCGCGCCTTGTGAGGCGCCTCAAGAGCTTACATCTTGGTGAGCGAGGTGAGCCTGGAGACGTCAAGAGGCAGATGCCCCGTGAGGCCCTGCTGGGGGAACTCCATGCGGACGGGGTTCCCCCCGCGGGCGTCTTTTGAGGCGCCTCAAAAGCTTACATCTTGGTGAGCGAGGTGAGCCTGGAGACGTCAAGAGGCAGATGGCCTGTGAGGCCCTGTCGGGGGAACTCCATGCGGACGGGGTTCCCCTGAGAGTCACACGCCACCCCCGCCCACCCCGCGCGCCCCACTCCCCCCGCAGCCTTCCCCCGCAGGGGGAACAACAGCTCCGCCGCCCCACCCACCGCCGCCGCTGCTGCCGCGGCCTCTACCCCCGGTTCTCCCCGCGCTTCTCCCCTGGTTTCCGCCTCCCCGAGTTCCGCGGCGAGCGCGCAGTCCCCCGCGCCCGCCCAGTTGTATTGCACGAGCTCGAGCGTGTTCTGCAGCTGCAACAGCACGGGCACTGGGGGAAGTGGGAGGAAGGGGAGGGAATAGAGGGAACGTTTTAGACGTCTCGAAAGCCCGCCCGCCCAGTTGTATTGCACGAGCTCGAGCGTGTTCTGCAGCTGCAGAGGCACGGGCACTGGGGGAAGGGGGGGGAGAGGGAGGGGGGGGGGGAGGTGGGGGAAAGAGAGAAGAGGGGAGGAGGGGGGGAAGGAGGGAGAGAGGGAAGGGGGAGCTTTTGAGACGTCTCAACAGCCCGCCCACTTGTACTGCACGAGCTCGAGCATGTTCTGCAGCTGCAGCAGCACGGGCACTGGGGGAAGTGGGAGGAAGGGGGAGAAGAGGAACGGGGGAGAAGAGGAACGGGGGAGAAGAGGGGAAGACGGGGAAGACGGGGAAGACGAAGGAGGGCAGGGAAGAGGAGGGGAGGGAAGGTGAGGGAGGGGAAGGGGAGGGGAGGGGAGGAGGGTCGCACAGGCATGAGCGTATGGCCCGAGAAGGGTAGCAGAGGAAGGGCGAGAACCAGAGAGCGGCGTAGGACCGCATCCCAAGATGCAGCAGAGCAGAGACTCGGAATGCAGCAATCCCTCACCGGCGGACACGTTCATCGGGACTGTAAGCACCGGGACCGCCGCCGCCGCCGCCGCCGGCGCTGGCGCTGCAGCCGCAGATGTGGGGAAGCGAGAGGCCGATGACAGTACGAGGAGGAGGAGCGCGAGACGGAGGGCGAAAAGAGCGGCTTCGGGCGGCGCGGCGGTACAAGTGGCGCGGCGAGCCTTTCCGAAAGGGGTTTTTTTTAGCAAACGAGCGTTTTCGCCGGCAGCGGCGGCGTGACGAACCGCGAATACCGCCATGGCGCGACCGTGAATCTTAAGGAGGGCAGAACGATGGTGCTGCTGCTGCTGCTGTCAGTATGGCTCCTACGCGGCTGCTGTAGTAGCAGCGGCGGCAAAAGTGTGACGAGGGTAGACCGAGCTGTTTCTTGGTACGAGCACACGAGTCACGCGTCGGGCTTTCCTGAGTCGCGCCAGGGTCGAAAATACTAACTCCACCGTGACAGGCTGTGTGACGAAAAAATGGATAGCGAGGGCCGGTTGAGATGGGTCAAAAGAAGAGTATGGGAAGCCACCGGAGCGCGTGGAAAGAAGCGAAGCGTGGCACTGGAACTATGGACAGGGGTCTTGCTGATTGGGGGAAATACACGGGCACTACTAGTCTCCAACGTTGGTAGTACGTCTCGACTCTCGATCCAAGACTTTCAGGAACGAGGAAAAGCTGAGGGTTACGACCGAATGAGCGCCAGGCCCTGAGTTTATTAGTACTAGTGGTAATGTACGTTCCCGGTGCGGACCTGGCGCGGCGTCAACGCTTTCCGTTGACCAGAGAAGCGATTCGGGTGGTCGTTCTTTAGGCGGGGTGTGCTTACGCGGCGCGGGACCGATGATAGCTAACGATAACGACGATACGTCTCGCAAAAACGGACAAACGCGCAACTGGCGCCGGGGTAGCGCCGCGATGAGGCAAATCTCGGCCCGAAGCGCTAGTCGCAGGAGCGGGTTGCTCGCTTGACGAGCACAGTGCCGCGACGAGATGGCTACTGTACAACCACCACTACTCGTTGCGCTGCGATGGCGTAGTGACGTCGTCCTCGTCAATCGCTTTTCAGCAACAACGTGTCGTCCCCTTCTGATGCTGCTTCAAGAGCTTGACAAGAGAAGTTAGAGCCAAATGGTCATGGGTCTGCTCTCCTATCACGCCTTAGGCGCCTCAGAGTTAGCAGGCTGCTCAGGAGACTGCTTGTGCTTCTGTTGGCAAGCAGACTGCCTGTCCTGCTGCTCCGCAAGTCAGCGTTGAGCAAATGAGCATTGAGAACCGCTCCGCTCCGCCTGCGTGCACTGGTTGCGGCAGTCGACGCAAGTGGAGAAGCCGTCCGCTCGAATCGCTTCCCATCGCAGATAAGTCGTCAGTGAAGTTAGTTGTTTTTGTGCGGGGTGTATAAAGAAACCGTCTGTGTACAGTAGTGTCGAGTCGATACAGCAAGAAGAGGGTTAATGATAATGGGGGCATGCGAAATGATATTTGTCGTGGGCGTCGAAACTTCTTATCTCGTTTTGGGAAGATTAACCCGAAGTGGTTACAGTTCGGACAGTTGGAGTGCAAACGCCCACAGGCAGAATGTCAATGCTGTTAGCTCACACGGGAGAAAGAAGAAGGAACCAGAAGAGGCCAAAGCAGCTCGTTAGCTCGCACGGGCGAGCAGCAGATTCGCGAGATATTCGCCGCCGCAGCAGATTGAGCAAGTCTGAAGCGTGTGGATAGGAAGAATCGCGAATAGGGGCACGCACTTCCTTTCGTGTCATAAGGGGAAGACCGAAACAGACCAAGAGTGTGAGAGGTGGCGGTGGACAGGCAGCGACGGGGGAGAGGAAGTAAAGAATGGGAGATAAGCGGGGCGAGGAGGGGAGAAAGGTGGGGGAAAATAGGGGGGAAAGGGGGAATTGGAGGGGAGACAGACGGATGGAAGAGTTTAGGAAGGGGTGGGGAGAATGGGGAGGGAAAGGGGGAAATTTGAAACTACAGGCACGGGTGGTTCTTGGGATGGATGGAGAGAGAATGGTTGCTTTGCTTGGGTTGCTGATCAAAGCATGGTGCGCTGCGCGGACGCTTCCCCCTCTTTAACTACAGACGACTGACAACTGTTTTTATTCTGGCCGCCAAGTGCAGAACTCGCAGTCCGCCAACCCCGTCAACGCAAATGTTGCCCATGAATACATCCCCGTCATCGGCTGACGGTTTTTTGTCCGCAATTCAGAATGCATATTCAAAGTTCATATGGAAAATATATGTAATGGTTTCATATGGATGTATTTAATGAGTGTTTCTTACTTTTTTCTGAGTCCAATGCGTGTTATTATACTAATTTTTATAATTAAATGTAACTTCATGTCATTGCTATCTCAACACTGAAGGCAGATGAAATCATTGAAGCCTGGGAAAAATATGAATTGCCATTTCCATTTGAACTATGAATGTGTAAGGAAAAATCCTTTTCCTTACGTCGCGTCCCCGCTCAGCGCGTACACCACTGTAGCACCACAGTCAGCACCGTTACCACTCGCAACCCTCACATCGACAATCATCCCGCCACCTTCGCACGTCGCACCCCGACCTCACGGCTCGGCGGGTAACCCGCGCTCTGGGCCTCCGCTTCGACACTTTTCCCAACCTCAGTCCCAGGCCCGTCACGCGACAACCACAGTCCATTACCGTTACCACTGTAGTTTCGCTATATAGTCTTCGATCATGCCTTCGCTCATTGTACTCTTGCTTCGATAGTGTAGTTTTCATTCGTTCACTCAATTGCACTCGTAACACTTGGTATTCAGAGCCTACGATCTCTTCTCGGACCGCACCCACACCTTCGCTTCCCCACTATCTCAATTTTGGGGGGGGGGGGGGGGGGGGGGGGGGGTAGACGTCTCTCAGCGACACAGCACCGCCGCTCGTAGTGCTCTCTCGTAAGCACGCACGGCCACGACCGAGGCTCTCGCTGAGCTCGCCCGACACCCCCGCCATGGCCGAATTCACGCTCGCCACATTGACGCAGAAGCAGCTCGACCGTCTGGTGCGCCAACTTGAAGATTCGGCGCTCGAAATTGCGACGCTCACGGCGGAACGTGACTCCGCGCGTCAGCAATCAATCATGAACACTCCAGCGCCACCACACGCACCGACAAATGCATCTGCACAATCGGACGAGCCGATCGTCATCTCGTCCGGCACACCAACACAAAACAACAGCGTGGGATAGCGCTCAGGCGCAGCCAGCGATGGCGCCGCCCAGCCGATGCCTGGCATGGGAGGAAACAGGGTCGCACCAAGCCCGCGGGAGCCTCGCGAAGCCCGTCGGCACGTGGAGTTCGCGGCGACAAGTGGCGAACAGGCCATTATGGCACCAATGCCACTCAAGCCGCAACGCCCGCCCTGCTTCGACCCGAGCCAGCGTGGAGGTCCGACGGTTCAATCGTGGGTCTTCACGATGAACATCTTCTTCGACGCGAATTACGTCGAGTCGGACGCAGCGAAGATTCGGTATGCCATCTCGCTGCTAAGGGGCCCCGCCATGGACTGGTGGCGAGTCATCGTGACGTCGCCACGCGCCTACGAGCCACCGTCGCAAGAGGAAGGGCCCACGGGTCCAGCTGTCACCTGGAGTTCATTCTGCGAGACCGTCCAATACAGCACGTGGGATGCGTGGTGCGCAGGGCTTCGGGCGCGCTTCGAGCCGATCGCGGATTCTATTTCGGCGCGTCAGAGATTGCGCACTTGGCGACAGCTCGGATCGGTTCAAGACTATACGAGTGGTTTTCTCCCATTATGCGAGCAAGTCGGCTACATGCACGAAGCGGAGCAGGTGGACCGTTACGTCGGAGGGCTGAAGCCGGACATCTCGCACGAAATCATGCCACGCGGGCTCTCGAACTTCAACAAGATTCTCGCGCTCGCCGAGAAAATCGACATTTTACGCCGACCGAGACCGGGGTCCTACTATGGACATCGTCCTCGGGGACCGATCGAGCACGCCACTGTACACGCTGTTGCGACGAATGCAGCTGCCGCGCCATTTAAGGGGCGCTCCTTTGCTTGCAATAGGCCGGGCCATCGCAAGAGCGAATGCCCAGAGGAGATAAGGCGCCGCGGAGCAGAGCAGGGGAGGGAGTCTCCAAGGCAAGGAAACGCCAGCAGTCAGTAGGAATCGGGCCAACTACTGACGAGACTGCCTGCTCGCCCAACCCCACCGACCCTCACCGAGTCACGGTACCGATTCATGCTATCGATCGGACTCGGACGAATAAGGAGGGTACAGCGACGGATTGCCCAGTACTGATCCACGGGAAAATACAGGGAGCAGCAGTGAAGATTTTTATCGACGGGGGAGCAAGCCACAGTTTAGTTAATACCGCAACCGCATGAAAACTGCAACTGACACTTAGCCGTTGCTTACCGGAGATAGACGCACGCTTACTCGACGGCACGCCACTGGCCATACGGGAAAAGGTGGAGAGAGTCAAAGTCCGCTGCGGGGGAAATTTCGGGTTTACACAGGAAATGCTCGCAACGACACTGGATGGACACGATATTTTACTGGGACGTGATTGGCTGCGACGGTATAACCCGCGAATTGACTGGACGACGGGTAGCTGCACCGTGCGAAGTAGTGGTAACTGGGTCGAGCTACCTCGCTGGCAGTCGCCCGAGTCTTCAACGGTACACGTCAACGCCGTCACAATGAAACGGGCTGTCACTGCTGGAGCTGACGTGTACGCAGTAGACATCGCAGTAGTAGAGGGAGCAGAGCAGCCGAGTGATTTCAAGAAACTGCTGGCAGCAGTACCGCCCGAACTACAGGAACTGTTGAAACGATATCCCTGGATTTTTCCCGACGATTTACCAGAAGGGTTGCCAGCTCAGCGCGCACATGACCACCGAATAGAATTGGAACCGGGGGCACAGCCAACTGTACAGCGCCAGTTCAGACTGACACA